TACAAACGAAAATATGAAATGTAGTTACCAGTTGGTACCTTGGGAGAATATAATGTCAATAGAGGGACAGGACTCTTATATTTCACCATTACGTATAATTTACTATACTCCATGGCATTTAAAATATATTTAGGCTTTAGTGTTTAGACTTATTTTAAGATATTTATAGCACGGTACGTCAGTATTGACATAAAAGTTATAAGTTAATAATAGTTATAGTAATATTAGGTATACAATATAATATATGAAATTTTTTGCAAAAATTAGCTTAAGCATACCTTATTAATAATAGAAAAATAAATAACTAATAGAAATTTAAACACCTAGGTACCTACCAATATGATAAAATATTCTTAGAAACATAGGCCGACCACTGACGATCCTCATAATGTTAAGGATGTAGGTATGCAATGATTTATCATTTAATTCAAATTTAATACATCCATGACGTATTACAATCTATTACAGTTATCTATTAAATGACGAGGTACATTCAACAACTAACATTTAGAAGAGCGGCGGTCGGTTTTTGTCATAATTTTTTCCTATACACCATAGATGATAGATAAATGAATAATGGTGTTAGGTTTAACATTTTAGAATCCGAAAGCCTAGGGGGGAAAAACTAAAATTAGTGATTGCTGGGGGGTCCTTATTACTTTTGGCATGTATTTTTGCAAAATTACATGCCAAAAATATAATTGCTTGTATTGTGTTATTGAATTAAAATAAAACATTTCATATACGACGTACGTCGTACAAATTACAGTAAATTTTTGATTTATTGGTGGTAGGTAGTCTACAACATCACTTAAGAAATTTCTTATTTACAAATTGTAATTGATATCGTGATATATTAGTATGATATATTTTGTATTATAGATAATATATTATTTTTATAATTAGGTTGAACATTCTGTACAATTTTTGTATAATAAGCTTAAACGAGGTTTAGAAGTACTTTAAGCTTGGTATCCTGAGGGGAGAAGCCACTCACTGACTGTACACCTATTTGTTATTTATATACTTGATATTAATTTTTATGAAAACTTCTCAGGTTTTAAAAAAATAACTAAAAGAACTGAAGACAATGTAACTCCAAAACAAAAAAGATATGGGCCCAGGGCTCGGAAGTTGTTGCATTTGCGTGTTTTTTTTGGACCGTTAGATTTATTGCTAAGTGAGCTAGAAATTCATTCTAAGACACTACGAAAAACATATCATAAGTTTATAGTGCATATTTTGCATATTAATGATTTTTTGAGTTTAGAGCATATTTCTTAATTTTACATTTTTTTAGAGTATATTTTATAAATTATAATATATGAAGATTCGTAAATAAAAAAAAATAAATAGATTCATATTAAAAGAATTTATTAGATATTCTTGTATCGTATTTTTTAAATTTCCATTTGGCATTAAAAACAATGTTTTTCCTCTATTGATTAATATAATGTATAAGTATAAATATTTATAAATTATAACTACAGGTGGCTTTATCTAAAATAGATTATTATATAAATATTAAATAAATATAAAATAGAAACAGCTGCAATAGAAATACGATGATTTTCTATAAATACTTTTCTAGGGAAATAATTCAATGATTATTGTTGATGGGCTGATGGCATTTAATATACCTACTGCCGAGATATTGTCAGTTCCGAATTCTACGTATTTACTTTATTCCAGGAACATTTTGGAGGCATTTTTATAAAAAAATTTTGTTGTTTAAATTATGATTAAAAATTAAAAATCAAAATTATTTTTATTACTTTGCTTTTTCCATATTTATAATTTTACAAAATATTTCTGCAAATGAAAATTTTGTGTAAAAACATAAAATATAAGTGCATATTTTTAGAGCATATTTGGACTTTTTTAAGTGCATAAGCGCATGCATATTTAGTACTTTTTAAGTGCATTAAGTTCCGAGCCCTAAGTTATGGCACTTGACTCAGCATGACAGTATTATATATTAAGCTATAAGCCATTACAATTTCTGTAATTTAGGGTTTATAGACTGCCTATTACATATAATTATTTATTGGTTATTATTGCACACATTAAATAATTTAAACTGCAGGGTTATGAATAGGTTTTATTATTTTGAATGTAAATAATAAAAGCACTTGGTAGTTCCAATTTGTTGGACAAAAAATATAGAGTATAATAGTGGTACTTTCTTTAATTAGGTATGTTTTAGGAAATATTTTTGTGTACGTTATATTTCATGTTATGTTGTTGTTATTGTTATTCTAAAAAAAATTAATATTTTATACTCTACTGTAAACTTCTTTAAAACTATTTTTATTCTTCCATTATATGAATTGTAATTAAATTTAGTTAATAATTTTATAGTATTATAATTACAATTATGTTGTAACTCTGTGCATGCGACAAGCCAAGTTTAAAGGAGGTATTTCATGATTTCACTCTTGTTTATATTGCTAAAAATTGTTTACATGTTATGAAAAAAATAAAAAAAATTGTATAATTTGAACTTTCACAACAATTTAAACACCAAGCATAAAAAAATAAAAGTACAAACTTAATTACATTTGAAATTCTTTTGTTATAACCTGAACATAATAAACCTTATTTTATTCTCTATACTTTCAGTTGAATAAAAAAAGTGTAAAACATTAAAGTAAAATAAAAATCATATTTTTGGATTCTGAGCAAAGCAATGAATGTATTTCTTTATATGTGTTTAGTCATCATTCATCATGTTTTGGTGGAGTAAAAATTCTTCAATCTTCTGCTATGTGGGTGGTTTCTGGTAACAAAGTTGGATGATGGTTTTTTTAAATTGTTATAGATTTATATATTTTCTGTGTTGTCAAAAATAAACAAAATTTCAATAAAATTTAGATTTTTTTCTAACAAATGTAATTTATTTCTAATATAAACAGATTCCAATTTACAACTTGTTATTATTCAATATCTGTTAATCTAAATAATCTTCAAAAAAATTTGGTTGAATAATATAATAATTTTCAATGACTATCCTTCTTGACAAACCGTAATCCACAATATCCGCAAGCGTGATTCCCTGGTTTGTCCTAAATAATATAATAACAAAAAATTATATCACAAGACAATACAAAATAAACATCAGACACCTAACATTATAATATTGAAATATGGATGTTATACTCATCATTAATTCTTTTATACTTATTTAAATACCATAGTTTTTAACAGTTGTTTGGTAAATTCATATCAATAAATTCATAATCATATATTTCACACTGGTTAAATAGAAAAGTTAAAATTAGAGGAAAGCAATTTTGTTAATTTTGGAATCAGCAAGAAGTTCTGCTGATAAATAAAATACATTTCTTTCATAAAAGCACAAAAAAATCAAATGCTACCAATCTGAATTTATTAAAAGCTCATCAATGGCTTATCAGTGTACTCTATAAGTTTAATCTTATTTTAAATGTTTTGTTATTATACCCATTAAACTCACTATTCCTATATTTTATGCATACAAGGTCATAATATGACTAGGCTACAAATATAATCCAATGACTATAATTTTGATAGTTTTGCAGACATCATACTTTAAAACACAGGAATTCATTTTTTATTTTTTATTTATTGTAAAAACTCAGTGTTTTTGATAGTCAGATTATATTATTAGTTGACATTATTAAAAGATTAAAATATTATTTAAAAGAATAATGCAATATACTTGTAAAATATTGTACCTACACTGTAAGCTATACTTGTGTCCATGAGAGAAACATACCAGACGCCGAACAAGCTGGTAACGGCTACAAATGCCACACCAGAGCCATACGCCGGAGGTTATGTGGAAGAGATTTTTCCTAACCTTACCATTGTGGAAAGACCATACTAATAAATTAAAAGATTTATAATAATATAATATATTAGAGTACCTATAATATTATGTTGTGTATGAACACTAAGCCACTATAAAAAATAATAAGTACTTAGTTAGATTTACTAATCATAGTAAGTGAGTGAGAATATAAGACAAATTTATCTATATTATCTATACCAATACGCACAACCCAAAATAATTAAATATTATAAACATTGATAGGTACTTAATATAATGCATGATTTAAAAAAAAATCATAGCCTTAAAAGAACAATTTGATTAATAACTTTTATTGTGTTCCTAATTATTGGACATTGGGGTTACTCATATGTTAATAAGCCTAACTTTAACAAATAAGAAGTAATTTGAGAGGAATGCATAACACATAATGTCAAAATGTCATATTTGATATTATGAAACTTAAGATATAACAATCAATTTGTGAACAAACACTTGCGAGTTTATAAGAATAGGTTGGTTTACCAAATTTATGTAGACTTTAGGATGACCCAGTGGTCCGCCACCACCATCGCAGTATACAACACGCTCCGTACACGGCTTAGGTGGTACTTGTTTGATGAGATCAATGGCAAACGACTTGTTCACTTCCTTCTCCATGCCAACGAAACGCGCCAAACGATAATCATCCTTTTCAAATTTCTACAACACAGTATTATTAACATAATAATCGACAAAATACAGCGACGGCAGTGATTCATGACCGATCACTGGACGGCACTTACCTGACCAGTGTGAGTTTCCACGTCTTTAGGTTCCCACGAATATTTGGCCGCTTGCAAGAGCGTTGGGCGACATGCACGCTGCGTCAATCCTACCGCCGCAATCTTCAAACCAGACATGGTCAAAGCCATAGTAAAATACAACGAAAAATTACGATAGGGCCAAATTTTTGGTTCCAACTTTTAACGGGCTATCACGGGCGACCGACTCAAAGACGAAAAGTTGTCTTGCACAAATTCACTGATAAGGAAAACATATGCTTACTACCATGACTAAATAGATCTATTTAGTCATGCTTACTACGTCTTACTTGATACGATAAACTCATTTACACATAATATTTTTATTCTGTGGCCCGGGATTGTTTACGGGTGATAAGACAATGATAAGACAATGATAATACTGTTGACAACTGTAAGTTGTCTATAGTGTGCTCGTATCGACTGTAAGGTGTAAACAACTATACACATAATATTAACTATAAATTCGAGTTTCGACGGAAGTCGTACAACACCACGACTCCACGTTATAAATTACTGTTTATTTGTATTATAAGTTTAACTATTATTCTTATTATGCTCTCAGTAGTGGTTACCAGTTAGTCTCTTTCACCATTAAAACGTATCGAAAGATTTTTTTCCCGCAACAATGGCAACGTGCCGTTCGACCATCCGTTGTTGATGGAACTTTTTCGTCGGGCCCCTACTATAGTACACCTATAGCTACTTTTTATAATTACAAAAACACTACGCGCAGCGGGTCCGGTGATTAATATGGAGTCCAAGTTTTCGGGTTTTGCCAAAGAGACCACTGCTAGACCGGCGTGTAAAAAATGCGGTTACTCTGGTCACTTGACGTTCCAATGTCGGAATTTCATCAAAATCGATCCCAACAAGGATATTGTGTTGGACGTGAGCAGCACAAGCAGTGAACCAGATGAGGAGTATGTGACGCCGCTGGTACAGCTGCGTGAGACTGAGTTAGCTTTGAAATTGAAAGAGGCTGCATCCAAAAAAAAGAAAAAGAAGAAGAAGAAGTCAAAGAAACGCAAACACAATACATCTGACAGCGAGTCAACTGACGACGATGCAACAGAGCGAAAAAAGAAACATAAGAAACACAAGAAACATAAAAAAGAAAAAAAATCTAAAGATTAAGTAGTAAATAAGTAGATATTTTGTAGGTTTTGAATATTAACTAAGATATTTAAAATTTCCAAAATGTTATTTTATGCATTAAATATGACCCTAATTATTCAAAATAAATGGGAAAAACGTAACTCTTTACTTAATATTTAAAATATTTGAATAGTTTTCACCTTGTGCATATCATTGAAATAATAAGAAGCGGGCAATTAAAACACAGGACTGTAAAAATCAAGAGACAATTGACCTAATAAGAAGTTTCCCTAATTATACAGTCCTCCATTTTAATTTCCCACTTTGTATTCTTTCAATATAATATTTGGACTTCAACAGTTCTTTTCTGACTAAGAAAATATGACTTTATTTTTAAATAATTAATCAAATGGTATTACCTATACATGAAACATAATATTAGTTTTTTAGTCTCTAACAATGAATATAATCATATTTTAAATGTAAGAAAAATAAAATACATTTTTATCAACACTTAATTTATCAAACCTTAGTTATCCAAATGTTAAACCTAACCTTTTAGTAAGTTTTTAGAAAGTTAAATTATACAACTAGACCACTTAGTATAAACTAAAGAAGAAGATACATGGGTATAATCAACAAATATTTAAAAATATTAACTTCATTGAACATCTTATGAATATATTTTAAAATGAAATCACTTGAATTTACAACCAGTTATAATTAAAATAATAATCAGACAAATACAGGTTAACATAACATTATCTTTAAAAAGAAAAAACTGTAGAACTGGTATCAATCAGACACATCCAATGCGGCAAACTTATTAGATGCAATTGCTCCACATACTTCTGAACTATCGCTATCACAAGATTCATCTTCATCACTACCATCTTCCTCAATTTCACTAGTGTCACTGGGAGCTGCAGTTAGAGTTGGTTTTTCCTCATCGTCAGATAGTTCTATACAACTATGTTCATATGTATCCAGCTCATCCACTATGCCTTTAATTTTCCATACATTTTTTAGCTCTGCAGAAGACAACCAATATTCTAAAGAATAAAAGAATAATGAGTATAGATATTTTCAAACAGTTAAAAACATTTTTTCAATTCAAATTAAGAACCATACTTGGAGGCGGCATTTAAGAACACCCATTTTGTCCTACCGAGTCAACCTGTCAATAGGTAATCTGCAAGTATAGCAAGTACCATGTCCCTGCACACATATCAGCTACCGAATATGGTTCTTAAATACATTAAAGAGTCCAGATTTACATTGATTTTTATGTTTTTACACATATTTATAGTCACGCAGCATTAAGGGAGTAAAAAATGTAAAGAATTTTTTTTAACTTACAATATTTTAGGGCTGAAGATATATCTAAAAAGTATTTGTTATATTATCTGAAAATATTACTCTTTTATTTATATTTATTGTTGATACTTAGCATTTTAAGTGTAACTAATTATATACATTTGCATCATATTTTAAGCTTTTTAAGGAAATGAAAGTCTGGACTCAACAATCTACAACTATTCACAAGTAGTTTTAAACTTTTAAAATTGATATTTCATACTTTTGCTTAATGTAAATCCTAGAGGTCTCAATGCTAAGCAAATTTTCCCACTCAGTGTCATACGTAATAAATGATTGGCAGCACGATAGGTATCTGGTCGGCCTGCTCTAGCAGTTAAAAAACCTCGTTTAATTGCCCAGCCTGTATCATTTAGAAAAAATCCATTTATAAAAGCAATTTATGTATTTTCAAAAGTATTACAATTACATACTGTCACATATGTCTATTGCAGACCATTCATTTTCTCCAGCCTCTGGATGTTGTAGGTTTAAAAGTTTTATCAAATTTAATCTTTCAGCTAAAAATGTAATGGTCGAATATGGCTCACGAAGTTGTGCAATAGGATAACATCCCATTAAGACCTAAAGAAACTTGACACATGAAACCTCAAGTAATGTTTGTTATAAATATTGTTTTAATACTTGTAATGGCTTAGGGAGTTTAGATGGGAACACAAGCCCAGGACAGTCACACAAACGGACACTGGAAGTTAAAAATATTGTCTGAAAATGCTTTGTGTGTCCAGGAGTTCCAGAAACACTGACAACCTTTAAAAATAAATATTAAATAATAAGTAAGTACTACAATATTTACAATATAAAAAATGTTACTGTATGTTACTATTAAAAATGTTACATTGCTATGTATAAAATAATTACTTTTTTGCCCATCAATGCATTCAAAACTGATGATTTCCCAGCATTAGGTTGACCCAACAAACCAATTGTAAGATAATTATTTTGAAATAAATCAAAATGTTCATAACTCGTTTCTGGAACAGCCTTGAAAATACGAATTTTGTAAAATATTTTATCTTTTTTTCAAATTAATAGAAACTACTCTTTATGTTCCAAAAAAACTATAAAATAATATCAGATCAACAATATAATTGATCCACGAAAAATAACTCACAGTAATTTTTTCTTCGATTTCAACATCTTCTTCATTATCATATTCTAGTTCTTTTTCTTCAGAAATTTTATTTTCCCAGCTCTGTAAATCGACTACAATGCATAAATACAAACAAAAACATTAAAAACAACTATTTATAGTATTTAATTTTGTAAACATTTGAAAAACATACTCTTTGCTTGATATTTTTCTATTATACTTTTACATTCTTTCAACAAATTTTCTGCCGCTTCTGCGGCCATCTTTAATTTACCTCTGGGTTTATTTTTTTGAACCCCTGAACATACATGATATATTTTATTGAAATTGTATAAATAAAACTAATCTTTCATCTTATTTTAATTATTATTGTGGTTTACACACCTTCTTTAAATTCAGAACTGTTTTTATAAGAAGTAAAAAACAACACATGAACTTTAGCTTTGTCGTCATCATCTAAATTATATGTTTGTGTTATTTTATGTTTCCAAGCCAAACCAATAGCTGATGGCACTAAATCCATTTTGTTTAGAATTATAATTAAACTCTTTTTCAAAGTCTTTAATACATATGTAAACAAATATGTAGGGACAGCCTAAAAAAAAATTGTACTGTAAATTACAAATCTTTATAAAAAGTAAATAATACATTAATGAACAGTAATATTGATTAACTTACTGGATAACGAGCATCAGCTATCCATACAATAATGTCGGACATTTCCATTACACGCCACATCTGCCGCCAAGTTTCCAAGTTCAGCTCAAAATAACTTAACTCATCCCAGTCACTTCGCTTTTTTAGTGTCATTAAATAGTCTTTAAAATAACCATATTCACGACTATCCAGCTGCTCTCTAGTCATATCTGGACTCCATTTGGGGCGTGTTGGAAAACCAAGCTCATCACCACAAAAATAAGGAGCAGGATCAAATTCAAGTTCTTGTTCCGATACTGGAATAATCTGTTTTCTTGCGTCTTCTTTTCTTTTCTTTATTTCTTCTTCAGTTTCTCTGCGAAATTGTAGTACATACCTAAACAAAATTGATCAGCTTATTTTAAATTGTGAAGAAGATAGGAATAATTTGGTTATGAACGAGTTTAGGTAACATCTAAATGATATTAATATTTTAAAGAGGGTTATAAGTAACTTCAAAAAGTAATAATTTCCTCAATTTAAAATTGAAATATTGATACCAAGATAGCACTAAATGATATCAGGAAAAGACTAATTTTCGGTTACAGACAGACACACCAAAATTTAAATAAATAACAAATAAATATACACACTGGTTAGGGTTGGATTTTCCGCCACGATGTAATGGTTGTTGATTGATACTCTGCACATTGAATTCAGGCAAACGTTCTTTGGGAGGTCTGACATGATTCCCTTCGGCTCTTTCATAACCAAACTCAGATCCTGTTTAATAATATTCAATATACAATCTTATACAATTACAGAAATGTGATCTAATGATTTGATAGGTACTCAAAATTTCTCCTACCAGAAGCTGCGTTAAGTTGTTTTCTCTTCCTTTTCTCTTGTATCTGCTGTTTCTTTTGTTTGCCACTGAATGGCAATTTTCGACGTCCTTGGGGCATCGCGATATTTTATTATTATATAATTACCAGTTTTTACAGCTCTTCCGATCTTCACATTTAAAATAACGATTTTCCAAAATATCCAAGATCAGTAATCACATTATAAATATATATATAACAATATACTACGTTATGTTTAATGATTACTTGAAAAATTCAAAATGATAGGTAAATACTACCTGCCGAGCACACACTTCTATACAATCACAGAACAATACAAGATAAGGTACTCCGTTAGATAAGGATAACCATTGCAAACTAAAGCCAGGATTACTGCAGCTGATTTAACGGCCGCCATGTTTTCAGTTGGCAAAGCATTACATTCATGTACAAAATGTACCAGGTACCTATTAGGATTTAGGAATAAGTCCGTGCAACAGTTTTAAATAAATATTATAAATATAACATTTTTATATAAAATTATTTATCAATGCCAGTAGTCTGCATGTTATACTCCATTATTTTATTGATTGGCGATAACTATATACGATAAGATGTCAGTCGTCAATACTAAGTTAAAAAAGTAAAGAACAATAATAAATGATGATAAAAATAAATTATAATAGTACCTATAATATTATATACCTACATGTTTTTGGCAAAAGTTAATGCAACATATTATGACATATCGTAAACTACTATATTAGGTTAGGTTATACTATATTAGCGACTCTCCCAGTTATATATAATAATTTAATTTTTGATTAATTACAGCGTTGTTTTAATTCGTGGTTGGTTCACAAGCAGACGTCAATGTAATATTCATATATTTAGTATTATATAGTATTCATTCATTATTCAATTCGTCCAAGTCACCCCACGCCTTAACACTTTTCGACGGACTTTTAGCTTTTTATGGTGGAGGGGTGGAGTTTAAATATTAAAATGTAACTTAACATTTATATGAACTAAAAAATTGTTGGATTTCGCGGAACATAAGGACTACTCGGTACTACTGTAGTATGACTAGTACGTACAACATTATTTATACCTATTTAAATGTATAAATATGTTATTATTCTACGGCTCGGGCCTCGGTTATGCCGTTGTTGCTTGTGCAAGCGTGTTGCTCCATCAGGAAAAAAAAATTATTCGAATTCGTCACCTGGCCACCCGGGTAGCAAGTTGTCGGTAGCAATAATTTGTAATTTTAATATTGTAAAATATTTAAAATATATAAGCGCCGAAAGAATAAGTAATCAAACTTACGTATAGGTACATCGACTCTTCAGGTTAAATAAAGCTGTGCTAAATCTAGAGTGCAGACACCATATTATCAAGGACCTGCTTTCTTCATCTCACTCCGAACTGGAAGGATCGAGAATCTCCACTGGCAACTACCCATTACAACGGCTAACGCAGAAAGGTCATTTTCGACAATGCGACGGTTGAAACTTATCTCAGAAATACCATGTACCATATTTTAGCTACACTACCTACTGGCGCGAGTCAATTATTTTTTCCGGAAACCCACAATATTGATTTAGTTTTAATGGGAAAACTATAACTAAATATAGAACTCTAGAAGTGTCCAGACTTGAGAGAAATTTAAAATTCAGTTTTGAAATTTACAAAAGTTTTTAAAAAAAAAATAGATACTTTAATCGTGCCTATAATTCTCTCTGGGCTCGGCATTAATGTGTCATTACTTATTAAACTATAAAATTCCATAAATATCGTGCAGTCACTGATATATTTGTTGAAAAACTGTGTGATTATAAGCTACTACAATATTAAGCGACCAGTAACCACGATTGACTATGGTAAATATTAATTGCTATTTTGAATTTTCTAAAAACTCTATCAAGGAATGAAGGAACTAAGGCCCCTCAACAAGTTTTCCATCTCCTATCGTGCTTTTCCGACATCCACATTATTGTAAATCGTACACTGTCGCGCTATCTAGCTAAGGAAATTTAGCAGATGTGATGACCAGTTCCTCACACTCACGCGTAAGAGTTCAAAATTAATTTATAGATAGCGCTGCTGTAATCGAAACAATTTAAATCTAAGTAATAATTCCGGCCAATTCCGTTATTGCGGCGTCGGGTGAGACTAAACCTCATCAAACCTCACTAAACCTTACCAAACCCAACTAAACAGTCTGTGGTTCGGAGAGTTGGTTTTTGGCTTGTGACTTAATATTATGCCATCCGAAAAATATTTCAACAGAAAAGTTAAAACATGTTAGATTATTAATTTCTGTAGATTTGTAATCGAATGTACTTTTTATCTTATAATGTCTAAAACCTAAATAGGCCAATTGCCTGGATTAAAGATTTTGGTTCTGACCAAATTCTTAATGTTTTCGTTGTAACGGTTACTATAATTACTAATTAAAAAATTGTAACAAATTTATACAATAAATTACAAATAAAATAAAGTATATTTAGCTCGTTTTCAAATTATTATTCGCTTAAGAGTATACAAATTTCAGAAATTATGAATTCTAATACTAGACCCAGAAAGCCTTCCAAATAATTGAATAAAATAAAAATTATGTTTTATTTGACTTAATTTTTGATTATTTGTAATTTATTATTAAGTAGGTAATACAAATGCCTTATTATAACGTAGCACACGATACTCATGCTTTTAAAATTACGATAAAAACCCAAAAATATTGATCTACTATGGTTCATAAATTGATGATGACTCAAATATAATGCATTGTGTAATAAAAAAAACTATTGAAGTCATATTGATCAGATTGAATGAGAGGTTTCTGTGTAATTACTATAGTATAATAGATGTAGGTATTCAATTTTAATTTAATGATAAATCATTATAAGCATACGAAAACGGAACCTAGCAGACGATACCGCAATCCTCTCTACGGCCACAGATCATACCACTGCAAGTCTCCAATTACAAACGAACATTGACATCCTCTCGGCTCTCTCAATGGTTCGTTAAATGGAAAATAAAAATTAATGAAACGAAGTCTTCCTTTATTACCTTCTCTCTTAGGCCTCATTACTGTCCTCCAGTAACAATGAATAATATTATGATCCCTCATTCAAACGAAGTAAAATATCTTGGCTTGATATTTGACAGACGACTAACATGGTCAGCTCACCTCAAGAATAAACGCAAAAAGTTGAATTCAAGACTGTACCTACTAAGGCCACTCCTACGCTCAAACCTAACATTAAACATTAAAATATTATTATTTATTATACAAAACTCTCATACAACCTTTTTGGGCATACGGGGTGGTAGTAGGGGTTCTGCCAACAAATCAAACAAGAGAACCATTCAAGCCTTCCAAAATATCTGCTGTCGTCTAATTAGGTACAGGAGCACCCGGGTATGTCTCCAATAACATTATAAACTCCGATCTCAAAATCCGCTCTGTCGACGATACAGCCACTCTATATTACAAACGCTTCCACTCTAAGCTTCAATCCAACCCCAACCAGCTCATCAAGGACCTTGCTACAACAGCACTACCCGGAAATCCAATTAAGACGACTCAAGCGGAACTGGTGCCGCGACTTAAAAATTTTATAAACTGCTTAAATGTAAATGTCATTGTAATAAATTGTAAATATTATTGTAAAGCCACTAGGTGTCTCTAATAAGAGATTTCTACCATGTTGTCATTAGTTCATAGTTTTTCTTTCTTTTCACCATAATTATTACTTATTGTACATCACTGTATAGATTGTAATATTTCAAAATAAAGTCATATTTAAAAAAAAAAAAAGTAAAGAAAAATAATTCTGAACGATGGTGATGGGTGGATCAGCATCTGTCTCTTAAGATATTTAATCTTATCTTATTTTTATTATTTTTATTATTAAATATATTTTTTTTTTTGTTTCATTTAAACAATTTTTTAAATATCACATATCATGGGTTATAAACTTATAACTAGAATGCGGAATTTTAGGTTTTCACAAAATATTATATTATTTATTGACTTTATGCAGTTCAACAGACGCGAAAAATCTGGAAGACGACTTATTCAGTACAGAATTCATAGAAAAAATGTACCGTATAAAAATAAAATTGTTCAGTCCTCAAAAAAAGTTCATTGAAAAAGTGCATGTCCTCACTTGGTTGTTAATTAAATTTTTTTATAATATTAATATTAAGAAAATACTATAGTACACATTTAATTAACCAATATATTTTGAACATATGTTTAGGGAGTACATAGTTGGTTCAGAACATGTGTTGCAAGGAATGTCACTAAGTACAGGTACTGGTGTGGTATTATGATGGTAAGTGATGTACATCAAAAGTTCACAGATGAGAGTCAAGAGTGATAGATGATCAGGGTTTTACCGTAATAATCTATAACATACAATATATAATCTATATCAGTAAAAAAAAAGCTTTTAAGGCTTTCCAACCACAAAAAGTTTGTTAAGTTTTAAAACAGACCACAGTGAAAAGTATTTGGATACTGCTGGTTTGTTGAATTAACAATCAGTGTCAAGTTAGGCCAGTATTTTATATAAAACAATAAGAATAATAATTATAATAACTTATCAGGGAATGAACATAAAATTATAACCCATGAATCATGACTTTAAGACTAGAAATTGTTCTAAGCAATTGTGTATTGGCATGAGTATTTTGTAGATTATTCAATATTTGACAATTGTTAAACATTTAGAGGTATAAAAACATATAGTGTTTTCTAAAAAATTAAATATTTATTACTTTTCTATAATATATTATGTACATAGATAAATTGTAAATTTTACTACAGCATGATTGCAAGTGTGTTTCAGTGTATTTTTTTAATCCATAATACATACAAATAAACAAATAAGATCAAATAAGAATACCATAAAATATTAGAGAATAACAATATTTGGCTATGCACTACCAATTTTAGATGTAATATTATTGATTATTATTTATTACTTATACAAATACAAATTTATACAATGTAATTTATACGGTAATTATATTTGAAAAAATTGAGAGTAACATTGAAGCACCAAAATTATAAATCCATTATGTTAATAAAAATAAATAATAATTAAATTGTATTTAAATGCTTTTATGGAGGATTTGAAGTAATTTAAATAATACTAATTAGTTATAATATTATTGAACACATGAGATTACAACACTTCACAAACACAATGAAGGAATTATTCAATAATAAATTCACAAATATTCTTCATAGAGATAGGGTTATTGTACTTTATATAAGAAAAATCCAGGTAAATAATTAAAAAGAACAGCATAAAAGGGGCAAGCTTTAAATTAATAACTTGTCCTATATGTATTAGAAATAAACTAAAACATTTAGAAATACTGTTTAATACATCATTTAACAAAATAATATTTTGTTTCTGTTTCACAATAAAAAAACAATAATACAATATAAATATATTTTTTAAATGAGATTAGTTCATAAAATACACAAAAATATATATTTGAATATGCACGATTACAATAATAAAAATATAGTTATTTGATTGCTTAAAATAAGTACAACATTGAGAAAATAATAATAATAATAATAATAATAATAATAATATTGATAATAATAATAATACATAATACATAAAATTATATTTGTTTCAACAAGTTTCATGTTGAGGTGCATTCTGTTATAAAGCACATATACATATAGTTAACATACAATAAATTAATTTGTTAATAATTCATTAGTTAATATTAATAATTAAATATTCAAATAAATAATAACTAAAAAGGCACTACTACATGTTAGACACGTGATTATTGTAACAAAATTAAGTTTGGAAAATAATACAATTGATAAGAAAAATATATGTTAAAACATGAAAAAAAGATGTTTATACTTAATAAGAAAAGAAACATTGAGCAGGAATTTGATTTAGTTCTAATTGCACAAAAAATATATATTTTTTTTACTATATATTTAAACTTAAATTTGATTAAAGGAACTTTGGCACGGCTTTTGCGTTAATGTTAAAAAAAAATGATAGATATCAACAATAATTAATTTTCAAATAGAAATTGTAACAAGTACAGAATTAAGACTAGACTACATTTCAATCATAAATTAAAATAGTTGCCAAAAAAGAGAAAAAATACGGACAAATTAAGCTAGAGGTTTTTTTACACCCATCCACCATAATATTTTTTAGAATGCTTAAGTCGTTCTACAAAATTAAATGCAGAGTTCAATAAAATTCATTAACATAATAGAAACATAACAATTAATGACAAACAAAAAACAATTGATGAAAGTACACAAAAATTGTACCCCTGATAACAAGTAAGCGTCAATTATTTCTTTTGTTATACCTAAATCTGTCTAAAATTTTACAATTATTTTATTATTTATAATTTCTCTTTAGAAGATACCCAAATGTGTCTACCAGAATTTCTTTCAATCATTGCTTTTACATTATCATACACTTCCTCATATGTGTCACCTTGTACTATACCTGTAAATTGATCACCAAATTCTTGTTCTATTTTAGCTGCCCGTTCTACATGTTTTCTTGCTTCTACTTCGCTCATACGTTTGCACATTTCCATTAATGCTTCAACGCTCTTTGGCTTGAAGAATATTGCTATAGAATGCAATCCAGCCACTTGAAGTCGTTTAATGGCATTACCACTTACATCAAGTATACAATGTTTACCCGATTCGGCTACGTGACGAACAGATGAAACAGATGTACCGTATAGGTTGCCATTGAATTGTCCAGCTTCAATAAACAAATGATTTTGGATGTCAAGGTCCATTTGTTCTCGAGATTTTACAAAATGATAATCACGACCATCAACTTCATCTGGTCTTATTTCTCGTGTTGTGTGAGGAACACAGGAACTAAAACGTTCTGGATATTCTGAAATTAGGTCATCATTGATTTTATCCTTTAATGGACCAAGTATGATGACAGGTCTTGCATAAGAGATTTGAAGCCGAACCTATAAATATAAAAGACATTAAAACCTAATATATTATAGCTACGACTAAAACAAAAAATTCAAAAAACATATATTATTACTTATGCATTCAAATTTAAAATATTTTAATTGATATTTATGAATTATGATATTCACTCCATTCAACAAGGTTGGTTTATACAATTTACTGGGTACATTATTAGATATTGTTAATTTTTACGGTTAGTCACATTATTTATTTGTTTCTGTTTTATGCAAAAAGTATAATAATTAGTGATAAAATAAATAATTGATATGTTGGAAGATCATAAAAAATTTAAATTGAACTATTACTACAATAATTATCATCTAAGTGGACTATTTTATGAAATTAATACTTCTGTAAATTTTAAAATTACTTCATCGTAAATGTTAAGTAATTATTGATAATGTTTAATAATTAATTACTAATTATTATCAATGATAATAACATATTTATTATTTATGTATCCTTTTATACTAATCATTTTTTAAACAGAAAATTTAAGCTGTCTGGTGCCAACATAATTTTTGTTAGACACAATTCAGAGTAATAAAGTCCTACTTTGTTGAACTAACATAATTTAATAATTATTATTGTTATTTTTTTTTTAGTTGATGGAAAACAATATTCTTCAAGTCTCATTGAACTCAATTCTTTGATAACTTTATATTTAATAGATCTTTAAAACTATCAACTCAATAGGTTTTATTTGTAATTTTTTTAATATGTGTATTAAAATTAGTTTTTTAATTGTATTTGTTGAAATTTCACAACTATTAATTTAGAAATGAGTAATAAATCGTGTTTAGAAGTTTTAAAAGCTAAAATAAACAATAATATGCACAAAACAATCTAAAACTTGCATATTTTTATGCAACATTTTTTTCTTCAAAATTCCAAAAAAATATAGGTATAAATATGTTTATTAATTAAAAATTATTAACATTGTTGAAATGTTAGTATATAACTATATAAAAATTGTTCTATTAAATAAATGAAAAACTGCAATAAACTTTTTACCAGTTGGCAATATTTGAACTAAAAAAATATTATCAGTACCTAAATAGTATTAATATAGCTACAATTGAAATACCTATTTGTGTAGTGATATTTTAAAATATAGAAATTATGAAATAAAAACTTCAATTTATAAAACATTAAATATACACATTTTTTTCTTAAATTGACAAAATACGCCAATTATGCAACCACGTTATATTTTTAACTTATATAGTATATTCTTTTATTATAAATAAAAATAATAATAAACTTGAACTGCTATAAACAGAGCATTTGGAAAAATATGCCACTACTATAACTTTTGAGCCACAAATATCACTATCCCCATATACTTATATATTTTCTTCTATTTTATAAAAGTTAATATCAATGATGGGAATTGCATTATTGTACACCCTTAAATTAGTTATTAAAAGTTATTAATTTTTGATACATACCACTGCTTCATAAGAAGGAGTCTCTTCAACCTTTTCACATATATTTTCTCTAGACTGCCTCTGCAATACCATATCATCAAGGCCATTTTCATATTTACCATCTTTACCTCTTCGCACCCATGGGAATCTTCTACTAAAAGTCATTGATTTTTTTTTCCTTTCTAATGTTGATAACCTATCTAAACTTTTGCTTTCATTTCCTCGAAACTTTACAGATCTATCACGGGCTTTTTGTTTACGCTCCCATCGGCGTTTGGATGGTATAATTCCAATACCTTCTTCTCGGCCAGTAGCTAAAACTTTTCGTGCCTGCCACCATTCATCATCACTTGCATTAGTCACATGAAGAATTGCACCATATTTGAACGGTAGTCCAATACTAGGTAAGCCGTCATCACTGGATGGATCATAATCAAATAGGGTACGGACAAACAATGTTTTTTTCTGAGTAGTGCGTATCAATGTGCCAGTAGAAGCAGCAAGTTGAGATTTTAATTCATGAATTTTGGCTTCAAACCTATATATAGATAAATATTACAAATTAGACAAAAATTCAAAAAATATGTAACAAAACTAAAATTTTTGTTAATTGTAGATATACCTATTATAATCTTTAGGTCGATGTTGAACTGTTAATAAAACAGTTTGTCCAGCATTTTTGAGGGCATCTGCTGCTTCTTCATGTGTTGCATTATCCAAACTAACTTCATTTACTTTTAGAATAGTGTCTCCTCTTTTTAATTGCCCAGTTTGATCGGCTGGACCACCGGCAAGAATGAATGATATAAATATACCTTCTCCGTCTTCACCGCCAACAATGTTAAATCCTAATCCCCCTGAACCTTTATGTAACACTACTGTCCTTATATCATGGTTTGGTAAGCTTTCATAACTTTTTACAGTATTTAATGTGTCTGTAGAATATGAATTTGGAATGGTATCAGTAATAATTGGCGACGGTGCAGAATCTGTGTATGTGATTGGTTCAGTTTTACCAATGACCAATACCACTTTCTCACGGGTATTTTTTAATGTCCATACGGCTTCTTCATGTGTTACATTTTCTAAATTACGATCACCAAGAAGAGTGTTTTTGACTGCAACTAGTTTATCGCCGACCAATATTCTACCATCTACTTGGGCAGCACCTCCATCCATTATTTTAGTAACAAAAATTCCGTTATCACCAGGTATGTGTTGATTGCCAATACCACCAGCAATACTGAATCCCAGTCCCTGAAAAATATAATCTTTACTATTTTATGTTACCATGTTATACAATTTAAAAATTAATTACAACACTTTAAATGAAACCATGCAATTCAACTCGGTGAAAAAATAATACATGTAAAGTGCTAACACTAAGTACCTACCCAACTAATTAGTAACAATTAAAATTAAATTTCAAGTTCTAAACAGTAACAGATAGGTAAGTATATTCAATGCAGGTCAAATGGCAGATTAGCCAACATATACTTGAAGAATTTAAAAAATATGATGAAAGTATGAAACTAGATTAATGCATAATGGTTAATGGTAAATGGAGCAAAATAAATTAGAAATATAGAGACAAATATTTAAAAATCATAGATTTTTAAATTTTTTTATTGGGACATGATTTTGTTATTTGTTCAATGTCAACATAACAGTTGTTATGGTTACAGAAGGGTGTTATTATGGAATAACCCATAAATAATTTGTATGATAAGTAAAATTATTATCAGCAGAATAAAGCTTAACAAAATGTTTGATATCATAATAACATAGAGAATGACACACTAAAATATTTGCTTTAATGTGGATATATAATTTTTTTTTAGAATTATTTATCATCAGACAAATTATTTGTTAAAAATATGTCGAAATTAAATAACACTAATTATTTGATTAAAGAAAAAAATATATTCTCATTAGCATTCCTAGTTTAATACAATTGTCTACTTCAATAAGTTAAAAATTAAGATAGGTACCTTGGTGCCTTTACTGAGTTCTATTTCTAAGACATTTGGCCCTAGAGGCAAAATGTTTTTCTTGCGTTTTACACATAATGTAACTGTGTGTCCTGCTCGTTTGAGTGCATCCACTGCGGTTGAATGAGGAACACCAACAACAGGCGTATCATTAACTTTGGTGATGATATCGTTGACACATAACCGACCGTCTCGATAGGCTGTACCGCCAGGAATTATTTTTGTAATAAATATGGACGTATCGTCGTCGGTCTGTGGATTGTCTGTACCACCTGAATGCGTGAAAAAAAAACCAAAACATAAACAAATCTGTTATTTTGTCATAAGTAGTTAACATGGAGGAGGCTGCATACCGCACAGACACAATGTTATTCATTGGGACGCAATTCACCAAACCCCGTTATTACCTACCTATTGTTAGTCAAACAAAAACTCAAAAACATACCGGCTATACTGAAGCCCAGTCCAGAGTCGCCTCTTTCCAAGGAGATCTCGTCGGAGATCCATTCGGGCTTGGCGTTGCCGTTCATCTGAGCGTCCAGACTGAACAGCGACGACACCTTTCTGATCATACCATTTGAATTGTTGATCGGTTTCTTTTTGGTGGACGCCGATCGGTTGAGTTCTTTCATAGCGTCCAGCACCCGGACATCCGTCGGGTGGCAAAGAGGGCGGGTAGAGGACCGGAGTCGGCACTGTTGCACGGGCCACACAGAGACGCTGACGTCTGACTACCTATTTTAGGAAATCCGTTTTTTTTTTTTACTATAATGTATATTTATATTTTTACGACATCGCACTCGTACACGCACACACACACACACACACACGTACACTCACTGACGAGTCACCGCCTACCTACCCTATCTTGTTATCGGACGGTACACGGACACTGAGCGTCGAGCGTGCACGTCAGTTCGCGGGCGACGTCGAGTGAAGACGATGAATGATGATGATATTAATATTTTACTCTAAATATCTTTTCGCTGGCGCTGCTACCGTTGTTGGGCGGCGGTGACGACCGCAACTGACCAGTGACCACCGCTGCAGCTGCTCAGTGCACACGACTGACACTACCGTATTTGCCGTAGACGGCAAACAGAAAACCAAGAAGACCGTTGTAGAAAAAAAAAAGCCTTATAAAATAAAAATATTATTTTAACGGCTAGTGTGATTAGGTGTTAAATTTTTTTCTTCTCTTTTCGATATTCGCCTCCAGTAGTGATTGTAGTCCAGTGGAATGTTTTAATTATCGCGAGAAAATTGTTTTATTTACGAGCAAACACACACACGCACACGCACACACAAACGCAAAGACGCACGCACGCACTACGCACATATGCACACACACACTTGAATTCCTCAACCGAACGAAAACAATTGGTAGACCAGTGGTTACCAAAACGGCCGTAAACGTACACAATACGATACGGATGCCATACGCGGCCGCCGGTCGTTGAAGCTATTGTAAAATGTTTACGTATTATTATTATTTATAATTATTATTGTTTGTTATTACAAATTACAACGTGCCCGACTGATGTATTACTGTCACGACTGTACATAATACTACGTAGTGCACATACGTAACTAAATAATAATACTTTTTAGTTGCACATTATCGTTATATTCGTGTCGATGAGGCACCGACAACGGACCTGCCCGGCGGAATTTCCACCGTTATTTTGCGCTATTTTGTCTAAAGGCGATTTTCCGTTCTCATTTTACGCTCGTGTCAGCAACATTTTACCTAATACAGCAGATTTAAAATAAAATTGCTTTATTTAGTTATTTCCTTAGATCTTTTATTAAGGTTATTTCACATTATACTTTTTTTTTTTTGTTAACCGCGTTTACATTTTTTTCCCCCTGGAACTGGAAATACTTCGAAATATGCTAGATAATCGGTTATCGGGGTGTTATCACTTATCACACTCGTGCAATAAAAAAAATGATAACATTGCACAAATGATAACGATAAATAAAAAAAAATAATATTATCATCTCTTTACAGTTCACAATTTCACATCTCACATGATATAAATTATTAGCGATTATACGCCGAAAAATTGTTGTTTTTTTTTTAAAGTTCGTTGCACGTTGTCGAATTATACTCGTAATAATGCCCAGTTATGAGTTATGTTTGCTGTTCAAAGTCTTGCCAAGGGTAACAATACTATTATATATATTTTTTATCCATGTGTACTTTAACATCGTCTAAAAAAACAGAAGTATCGATTGAAACTATTAAATAATGATCAAGCCTCTGAGGCTGTGATTCTTTTTTCGTACCTATGTCGCTATGCTATTTAGTATTTTGTATCAATAAGTCATACATACTAATAATTAATATTATGTATGGTATATGTAAGCAATACATTGAACAGTTACTTATTACTTATAAGTCTGAGATTTTCTAAAATATATTGTCTTTATATATTATTTTATTCAAAATCTTCTTTACTTTTGTATCAATATAAATCATCCAAAGTGTAGTTTCTACAAAAATCCTTTGAAGGAGCAAGTTTGCAGCTTTCAAATAGTACTTTATACATGGTTGTAAAAACGTAATAATATGTTCATCGTATGTTGAGTAGATTAGAAGAATGAATTTCAACTGTACGAGGAGATAGATAGCACAGTTTCTTATTAGTCACCTATTTTATATATAATTTAGTGTTTTACTGAAAATGAAGACATATTTATAAATTACTAAAATTTTTTTTTGTGAATAAAATGTATTGTATCTACAAACAGTAAGTTAGACGAAGTGAAGAATTAAATTTAGAGTTTATGATAAGACATTCAATAATCTAAAATAGTAGGTAATAGATAGTAGTAGATTGCCTTAAAATTATGGTTTGAAATTTATTATAAAGTCATACTATATCCCATATCAAGGATGAGTAATTCAAAGTTACTAGAAGGCCAATTTTTAGAACTTTAAAATCTAATCGACCAGAGCATAGAAAGCAAAAGTCATTTATTCTAAATGCACACATCAATCTCTTTTGAAGATAAAAAACGGATCTGCTTGTAAGTCACATTATCCTTATTAAAGTGAACCACCTTGCTTTTTAATTTCAAAAACTGCCTTATGATTATTAAATAAAGTTATTCAAGCATCTATGATTCTACAAACCACGTAATTCAATTAATAAATACAGATATACGTTAAAATATATGAAGTTATTTGAAAATGTAGCACGGGCCAGATAATAAAGGTATACCTATCCTTGTCCAATACTATATACTGTCAAACTAAATAATAGATGGCTCAATCCTTGGATATGATGGTAGGTTTCCCTGAAATACTAACCTTATGCTAACATGTCGTTTGTCATTGGTCATTACAACATAGTATTTTTTGATTAGTCGAATTTAAAAATGTATTGATGATTTTGAAGTCATAATTTCAACTGTTCATAATACTTTGTTTAAGCTCTGTGTATAACTGCATATATTATGAACCCTTTAAAATCAATAGGTGTATTATACACATTATTTTTCTTAATACTCAGTGAATAATCTTGTTTATTTAAAATTAAATTAGTAAATCAATACACTTGAAATATACATTATTTAAATGAATAAAGGTTTAGGATATAATTTTAAAACATTTGCAATTCAATTGAATGGTTTTCTAAAGATAAAAATGAATTAAAAAGTTTGAAGGTAAATATCTGTAAATATATTTTTTATTATTTTTTTTTAATATAGGTATTCCATTTTTTTAGTTATAAGTGATAACGCATATAAGTTGAATATGTAAAGTGAATTAGGAAGTTCCTCATTAGTTACTATAAAATAGAAACTATACCTTTCTTTTTTTTTACAAAATGTTATATTTATTTTTTGTATATACCTAATACAATCTGTAAATTACTATTTACTATAAGCATAATATGTGATGAATATGATAAGCCATGTAAGAAAAAAAAATCCATATGGTGACATTTTATAATTGTATTAAAATTAAATCAACAATGCAACCTTCCTATACTCTATCAAGCTAGAGCACACACTGATTCTGCACATCCCCACTTAAACCCTTCCATTAATATCAGTTCTACTATGGTTAAAATGCACAGAAAACTCGAGTTTTGTTGGGCCACGGTGTGTTCTTTTGCTTTACGTACAGAGTCTTAATTCATTATTCTATATTTTCATTATTATTTCAAATAACAACGGAAAGATAAAAGTCCATGAAGAGTCCATTAAGGTTTAATTCCATTTCAAACTAAAATATTTTCAAAATATTTTTGTACTTGAAATCAACCATTTATTATACAGTTTTAACTTTTTATGCTAGGTACTTAATCAGATAACCTTGACTTACAGTTTCTATTTTTAAGATTAATTTATACGTGTAATATTGTATCATTTTTAAAATGCATTATTAATATTATTGTATTATATTTCACAGAATGATTCACATACAATTTGATGTCTTATAATCTTATTACTTTAAGCTGAAAGCTAAAAGCAGGTTTACATTCATACTGGTGAATTCAGGTCATTCAGTTGCTTAATAACAATAAAGGCAACATTGTTTGTCAAAACATTTCTCACTTGCTATAATTTTTAATTTATTTATTGTTAATCTTTAGAAAATGATGAGCTTTTATTTTAAATTTAGTTTTGAGTACTGTCTGGCTGTCTATCAAATTACAATATTATAACTATTTTATTTGCTGGAAAACTGTTTCAAACCATTCAGACATTCAGTATTATGATGGATATTAATATATTATAGTGAATATTCATCTAAAGGCAATATTAATATTTAACTTTAATACAAACACATTGATAAATTATTCAATATAAGCTATTGATAGAGAAGCTGTATGAAACATTTATATCATTGTTATTATAAAAAAAAATTTACATAGACATAAAAAATAAATTTAAAAAACCAATAAATTATTTGCTCCATTCATGTAAAATTTAAAACTATGTATTTGTATTTAATCGTGTAAATTAATACGTCTTGAATTCTTAATTTATTTATTATATATAAATAAAATATTTGTGCAATGAATATATAGATTTTTTATAGTTAACTATGTGATAATTGTTCTGATGTATTAACAATTAAATGAAAATATATGGTTCTTATGTATTCTTACTTAACTATTTGCTTTATCTGTTTGTAATAGGTAAACTTAAAAAAAAAAATAATTTGTTTTTAAGACAATGCACTTAACAATTTTTACAAACATTTTGTATCCAATTAAAACACATATGTCAAAAACTAGCAATTGCCACATACTTAGCACCTAATGATTTAATGGAATTTATTATTTTGTAGGAAAAATATTTCAATGCATCACAATAATTATAAAAATGTAAATTCTTTTATAATTGTTATTATTAGTTTTAGATGCATAGACTTATAGTTAATAGTATTCCTCATATATTGATAATTGATAGACTAGTATATTACCATTACACATAGAAATGTATGTATAATTTTAATAACTGCAATTTTTGACAAATATGTTTTATGTTAGCAATATACTGATAAAGGAACTCTCATTATTTTCAGCCTGAAATAACACAATGTTTAAAACGAACAGCTAATAAAATCTTTGAATCTGGTGGATTTATACGGCGTATTGATAACCTAGGAACAGCAGATACTCCCTGGAAGATAAGTTCACATGATGCAATACACAAACAGGCTAGCTATTTTATCGTTGAGTTTGATGCACCCAGTTCAGCTTTGGATCCATTTAATAACTATTTATCGAGAGACATTGATATAATCAAACGTACAATATTCAAAGTTCCCGAAAATACACCTCAACCAGCTTGCACACTCCACGAAGAGCTCAAACCACCGGCATACAGGTAAATTAATTATATTAGGATAACAGATAAAATGAGTGTATTTTGGATGAACAAACTTATCTTTTTATTTAGGTCTGAGGTTAAAGAAATGATTGCCATTGGCAAGCGTAAACGTGAAAAAGAAGCAAGGAAGAAAGTACAATTCAACACTGGTTTGGATTACATGCCATTTCAAAGATAGAATGTTAATTAAATTAATATTGTAAATAAAACATAGAGGTTTTTAGTAGTTATATTAATAATATTAAAGTAATACGATTTGTGTACATTTGAAGTTTATTCTTTTATCTTGTTCACTTACAATTCAAAACAATAATAATAAGAGTAGACTAATATACAATACACAACATAAAACAAAAAATAGATGTTTTAAAAGTTTCAATATTTAAATAAATTATAAATAGCTACCATAGAAATATTAAATGTCAATGCACTATGTTCAGCAAAACCAATTATGTATTATTAGCTTTAATATTAGAGTGAATTTACCTTTTATCATACTTAAAGTTAAGAACATATTATTAGCTGTATTTGTACATTGAGTTTTTAATTTTTCACCGAAATTAGCATTTTTAAACTGTAATATTTTACATATTCATAACTTGTATAAAAACTCAAGTATTGTAAAAAAAGCTAACATACAAACACAAACAATGTTCTTAACTTACAGTTTCTTATTAAGTCAATTCACTTTAATATTAATGGTAACAATACAAGATTGGTTCTGCTGAACATAAATTCGCTATGTTGTACGTGGGTCAAAGATAAACAAATAGGTAGTGCACTGACATCCTCTTAAGACTAAAATATTGGTAAAGTATAAAATATGTAGTGAATAATTATTTTGATGAAAGTTGGAATGTACGTTAACCAAGATACCCAAATATTAATTCTGGCAGATTTGATTCAGTAAACAGTTATTGTAACAAACATAATATAAACTTGGCTAGAATTGATATGCCATTGTTTTTCTCATAGGATTGAGTCGTCCGAAAGTTAGTTGATGTTGTCACTTTAGAATTAATCGGTCATCATACATAAACCAACGATTTGTTTGGTTGATGGTAATATAATATTTTGATTTCTACAAGAGCTTAATACTTAATGTATAGTAAATCTGATTTGTTTCATTATAGTTAATGATTTACAGTCAGAATGTCTAAGATATAAACGTATGATTTTGATGCAATAATAATAATAATAATAATAATAAAAACAAATCACTTAGACGGTGATATTTTTTGTGCTCCAAATATTTTACTTAATCTAGTAATCTTCGACTAGACTACGGTCTTGAAATGACTAGGATAAAAATGTTTAACAATAGTTATACCATGCTATTTACTTAAATATTAAGGTTTATAATTATTGCACAGACTTAAGATTATGTTTCCGTAATTTTAAACATTAATATTACTAATAATAAGAAGAATGATTGAATGTTTGATCACAATTAGGTTGCAACAATGGTGAATGAAGTAGGATTTGTCTGGGGCGTGATAGGCAAATGTGCAGCGATAAACGTTGGTTCATCATATGAAATCTGAAACAAATCAAAAGTCAACAAGTGCCATCATCATAGTAATCTTTAGTTTATGGTATTTGCACAGAATATATTATCTCATACAATCTGTGCTACTTGTGTAGAAGTATACTTTTAACCATGAACCATATTAGTTCATGCTTGTAACTTATTAGGTAGGCATTTTTTATTAATATGTAATTAATATTGAAAGTAAAAAGCATTAGAATGATAACATTGATTAGGTACTTTTTGGCACTCTCGCCACTCTGAATACAGGTACTTAGTACTTAGTACTTAGTAGGTATATTGACTATTTTGGCATTACAAGTGAATAGTGAATGGCAGATGACAGATGGAATTAAGTAGAATTAAAATATAGCTGAACTTGGTTAGGTAACTCAACTTTTTCTGTGTTCCTAGAATTTACAATTATTGTATTATCTTCTCCCTCTAATAACTTGAACTTTTTGGCCAATCCCTTCAACTTTGAGTTAACAAAATCCTGTGTCCAACTTTATAATAATTAGTTAGGTACCAATATTTGCGAAATTTTTTATGTAGGTACCAAATTTATTATTGTTTTATTATTACTATTGACAGGGGCGTCATTTAAGAATTTTGCGTGGAATGCAAAACGAAATTTACCTACCAGTAGCCATAAAATACATAAAATATAATAGTAGAACTTCTTGCAAATGACTCCCCTAATTAACTACAAATTTGTTTCATTAAATCGATGGGTATATGATCAAAACCAAATCGTTTTGTGTACTTTTATCGCTAGGTATCAGTGACCTATTAAGGTAAATAATTATGTTTTTTTTTTTTTATTATGGTAGGTATCGAGGACTGGAGGAGGAACTATGGTGCCAGTACTTCTCCTGGTAAATAATTATGTATAGATACCTCACTTTAATAATATTATGTATAGATAGGTACCTATTCCATATCCGCGAATATATTTCAGCATAATATGGCATATGGTATGAGTGATTACGGATGAGTGATGAATCAATAAAGGGGTTCATTTTATAATATTCTTATTTTGTAGGTGGAATGCTTTTGCGTTGATATAGGTTTATGACCAACAGTTCAGGACTTGGGGTTCCTACCTTCATAACTGTTTTCTGTATTTTTATTCGGTTTTACATAGTAACATAATATATTTTCTTGATAAGAGATCAGGAGCATGGTGCATGTATTACAAATTACAATTTACTCCTTCATTTATGAGTATTATACCTATATAGCCTATAGGTACTATTATCAAGTATAATGTAAATCTATAACATATTAACATGCAAATGCAATATCGTACTGACTACTGAGGTAGGGATTCGAAATTCGAATATAGGTAGTAGCCATATTTGTTGGTAGGTACCTACTTTTGGACTTATACACCCACGTAGTCTGTGATTGTGTTACCAGCTTAATACCTATTACCTATATATAATTATATAAATAGGTTTATAGGTAAGTAGGTATCCGGTTTCTAATTTTCGCAAGTGAGATTATGTAGATCTTACGTAGGTATAGACTATACTAACTTAACCTACAAGCACCTAACGACTAACTGTATAAGTCATAAGTAGGTAGGGTACATCGTATAGGTATGTGGGTAAGTTCGTGAGTCGTGACGGAGTATAACGAAAAATATACGTTTTGCTCATTTAGAGAACAAAAGAATAACTTGCGATATGGATTACCTACTTAGTTACGTATATTATGTAGGTACGACGAACACTATAAATTATAATCATGTATTTTAAACGTCTATAGGTAGGTATTTGTTGGAATATTACACGTGTCAGAAGAGCGTGTCTTGTTAACTTAAAGACTAATAGAGTATGGACGCGCTTTGATTTTATTATATATGACTGTCACTTATAAAACGGTTTTATACGTGTGCAATTTAGATACCTATTACCTATCAAGAAAAACAAAACAAGACTAGACTACCAAAATAAAAAAAAAAATTGAGTACCATAATCACTGCAGTAGTGCAGTGACTCATATTTTCATCGACGATGACGGCAAGACGGTATATTATACTAGAACAAGTGCACAGTATTTGACAACGTTCGCGAAGATGTCGTATAACTTGTATATTGTCAAAAAATTGCTTCACTTCCAATTCGTTGCTGATTGTCACAATATTGAGTTGGTAGGTTACTAACATGCACCTAATTACATGTGGTTTGGTAAGTTGCTACACCCGTGACCCCTAATATCGAATATGTACCTACTCAATTCCTACTATATAGTATATGGATATAACATTCAGATACGTAGGTAAATAAATTTACCTATTTCACTAGAAAAAGATGATGACTTACAAATACCTAAAAAATTCTGATATAAAATCCGTAAAATTAAATGTATTAGATAGGTAGCTACTTTTTGTATACTTACTACCATATTATACAGGGTTATTCAAAATGATTCATCCTATTTAAAATGCCTATATTATAATGGTTACTAATAGACTTTATATCATCAAATTATATACCAATTAATAGAGGATATTCTCAAGTTTTAAAATGTCATTAATTCATTATTTTAAAATAATCTCGTACGGCGATAAGTTAGTTTCCCCAAATTTGTTGACCGGACACCACAACGCATTTTGTGTGTAGCGTTTTTCGAAGCGTGAATCGACAATAACTGTGAAACGCGATTTTCGCTGTCTTTACGGGATCGATGCACACACTACTCGGACTTCGGAGTATACGTCGATGGTACTACAAGCAGTTTGAAGAAACATTGTGTTTGTGCAAAGGAAAAATCACAGGCCGACCTAGTGTATCCGATGATTAAGTGGAACGACTAGATGTTATTCATATAACCAAAGGAGTTCACATAGAACATTGATAGGTACAGTTAATTAAACTTGACATATTTTTCTAAACCTAAAAAATAAAACTATATGAGCATCTGAAATCGAATGAATCATTTTGAATAACCCTGTATTATGACTGTAGGTAATTGGCATGGCAAGTATTAAAGCTTTTGCGGGAAGTATGGAATACTGATTATACATATACCTGGGTAAGCTGATCAGTCCAGAATAGTAAGAATGAAATTTGTTATTTCTAGGAGCTATTGATGCATATTTGTAATTTTTGTGCATAGTAGCATAATATTTTTGTATCATATAGGAACTTCCAATTTTACGTTTTTATTATTTATGTACCTAGGAATTTACACACGAGTGAGTTGTAGTTGTGCCGGAGCTTACATATTACCTACCTATTTCCGATTTTTTTTTTTGTAGGAACTTACATATCACATAAGGGTCATTTTACCTGCTATTCCTCGTGTGTGAACTGAAATTCGCCCAACGGCCAAATGTTCATGTAAGTACATAAAATATATGACAGTGATAAGTGACATCCCTATAGTAGGTCGTATACTAGAGAACCGTGTGTGCGTGTGTCAAGTGATGGGCTAAGGAACTCGGCGTCTCGGCATTATACTTTTACATGATATATACCTATTTTATACATTTATATAGGTAATAACTAATAAATATATAGGTACACTATACATATATAGTGCATAGAGTAAATTATATGAATGATTTTACAATTTTACACTGGAATTACTTTGAAACATCTGATATCTGCCGGACATATACAATATACTCTAGGTCTGTGTTTAGAAATTATGCACCTGTTTTTTAGTGGCAGGGAGGGGAGTGGATGTCCAGTGTTAAAAGTGAAAATTATAATTAATATTTCCATAAAATTACACAATTTGATTATTAAATATCATAAAACGCCAACGGCTCGTAGTGTTCCCAAGCGGTCACCCATCCAAGTACTAACTACGCCCGACGTTGCTTAACTTCAGTGATCGGACGAGAACTGGTGTATTCAACGTGGTATGGTCGTTGGCGATGATAGCGAGTTATATAACAAAATTTAAATTAATTAATAACTTGTATCTCAAATAAAGGAAAACAAATTCATTTCCAATACATCGCGTTTTTCAGATATTTATTTTTTGAAACATGTTTAACATGAATTAAGATCGGTGGTGCAATTGTGCAAAACAATTGCAAAAATCATTATTTTGGAAGTTATATTCTTCCGTAATTTGTGATTTTCTCTTTTTGAAATTTTTTAAATTAGATATGTGGGGTAGGTACTTAATACTTATTAGTATTTTTTGAATAAAATAGAACGAACTAAAGACAGAAGGACGCAGTATAAAGTTATTCGATGTTGATTACTACTACAGTAACTACTAACTTCAGAACGATAATCAAATAGGTTTATAGCCTTATAGGTATAAGGTATAACTGTATAAGTATAACGTTTAAATAAAATAAACATATTATTTGTTATTATTATTTTACAACAACGTTAGCTGAAGCCTGCCGCCCTGCCCCTGCGGTCTGTCGTCATCAGTTATCCAAGGAATTGTTCATATGAAAATAGATTTGAGAGAATATCCTAAAATAAACTTTGGAGAAATCTCCATTAAATCACAATGCGTCAACAGAAAAAACATTTTACATAATTTTAAAGTTATAATTATGTTTGCTTAATACATAAAAAAATCCATTCAAAATTTACCACCCCCAAAGTTCCTCCAGGAGCGTCTCGTACCTACTACCTATCAGTGCCATTTCGATTAATTTTACAAGACGTGCAACTGCAGAAGACAGAAGTAGATACACTTGCTTTTTTACGGTTCAATGTTATTAAATGTTTCACCCCGTGTCTCTGTCAAACACAAAGCACCTACCTAATTTACTAGGTATTCTTAATATTTGCATGCAATATAGATACGATTACTTAGAATACCTATTTTACAATAATATGTTTCTAAAAATATTGTAATGACAATGTTTAGAAATAAAAATGATAATATTATGATATAGTAAGTTCATAGCTATTTCAAATTATATGATTTTATGTATAAATAATAATGGTTGCTGATCCAAATAAAGCCGAACATATGTATTATCAAGTAAAAATTGGCAAGTGCTTCCAATCTAAAGAGTGCAAAGAATCGAAGAATAAAATATGTCCAAATGTAGGTACACTCTTCTATGTTTGGCCAAATGTAAACTCCTACAAGAATAACCTTTTTACCTGAATCATCATTAAATGTAAACTCCTACACTAATAACCTTTTAAAATTTTTACCTGAAAATCAAAGATATTGTAATCTCCTACATAGAAATTTTTCCTTTTAAAAAATAGGGTAATATTACTTAAATTTAGTCATACAACACAACGCAGACAGACAAAAACTATTTCTTAATATCAATTTATACTTAATCAAAAAGATAAATATATACGAGGAGAAATTTCACGTTTAGAGTTTATCTCTAAAGTATGCCATAAAAATATACGTAAATGATTATGACTTAGTATTGTTTTATTGAATTTTTTATTATTTTTTTCAAAAAATTTTAATTTTAAATTATATGATTTTGACTATTGTTTTATTAACATTTTTATTATATTTTTCAAAAAAAATTATATTAACTAATAGTATTGTTTCATTGAATTTTTTATCATTTTTTTTCAAAAATTATTGTTTTAAACGTATGTGATTTTGACTATTGTCTTATTATATTTTTCAAACAATTTTTGTTCTAGGATTAAATAATTATGAATATTGTATTATTAAAATTTTTATTATATTTTTCAAAAAAATTATATTAACTAATAGTATTGTTTTATTGAATTTAAACATATTTTGTTTTTGGATTAAATGATTATGACTATTATTTTATTAACACTTTTATTATATTTTAAAAATGTATTATACTATTATTATAATTTATTATATTATTATAACTATATTTTTCAAACCGTTTTTATATTATGTGTTAATATATTGCAAGACTGATATTTTTTACAGCAATACGAGCGGTATTAATTTTTTGTAGGAGTTAACACTATTTTTTGTAGGAGTTAACACTATCTTTTGTAGGAGTAAACACTATCTTTTGTAGGAGATTACACTAAATTTGTAGGAGTTTACCATTCCCCCTATGTTTGTACCATTAAAATGGTATCCCATCGGTACCTACCCGAAGTCTAATATAATTCAAATTTAATTTTCACATTTATCGCGTGGGAAGTCAGTCGTATAACAGCGCGATTCACCAAACATGCGCATCCCTTTTATCCTTTATTATGATGAATCTATTCAAAATCTGTATATTTTTTGAATTTTTAATTGTTCTTGAAGATCATATTTTCGAATGACTACTATTTAAGAAGTATCATATGCGGACATGCGGTGTTGCAGACTTATTATTTTAAAATGAGAAACATCCTATTTTTACATCTCCATTATGAAAAATGTCTGTACATCACAAGAATTTTTTTTGAATCTCATAAAAAATCGAAGTATTTTAGGATATTGTTCTCCAGTAAGTGAACTTGGAAATTCTAAAACTCAGAATTTGAATAAATGTATTAATAACGGGAAGCTTGCAGGTTGAAAGCCTTCACTTTTACATGCTTAGTAAATCATTTTCGATATGGCTTAGTAGTCAATAATACATGTATATATTTTTTATAGCGCTTGTATGTATAAAATTACATTAATATTTGTAAGTAGAGATTATAATAATATACGAATATACCATGAGTATACTGACCGTCGCTGCCATGGCTCTCTTCGTCGGCCGAATGCTGTCTGCTTGATCTCGAGTTCTGTTTCGATAAAAACTGAAAAAAAATTAGATTGGTTAGTTTGAAGATTTCTTTATGCTTATACCTCTGTATTATATATGTATGTGTGTATTATTAATTTAAACAAGCGAGAAAAATTTACCCTAAATTTCCAAAGTTTAAAGAATTTAAAAATTCTTTGAGTCAACGATTAATAAATAACGTTCACGAATGCACAATACAACACAATTTCTCTGTATCTACCACCGTTAAAATTAAACATAATCTGTTATATATCTATGTGACAAATTGACCGCTTAGAGAAGTATTGGTATCATACACAAATTTTAAATACAAAACGAACGTTATAAACAATATACCTAAACGTTTGTAAACAAAGGCAATGAAAATACTAACGAGGCAAATTAAATTTAATTGAACTGGTGCCACAACCAAACGCAATCCCATTTTTCACTTTTGAATTTCAAATAACGCCGAACATCTAGTTTTTTTTATTAAGTATAATTTATTGACAGTTATTATTTTTTGTACGAATTTGAGACGCATTTATATAATTATTGCATAATATTGTCGTACTGATATATTTCTACGTACTTGAAGTAGTAATTTATTTGGGTGAATGAACTTAGTTTTATAATGAGCACAAAAACTGCATGCTCGACCCTCTACATTTCACAACAAATATACTTATACGGCTATGATATTGTGATTGTTCCCGATTTTATATTGATAAGCCAAAATATCTTTATTTGAGATGTCTGTGTAACGCTGAAGGTTCAAAAAGAACATTTTAAGATTTAAAATGTTCATAATTTGAAAATATTCAAATTATTAGAAAATTTGGCAGAATGAACAAAGTGTCAAATATATTATAATAATTATGCTTTTAACTTGTCGAATTCGACGTAAAAGATCATCATTATAAAATATCAAAATTAACATAGATTTGAACGTCTAGAAAAAAGTATCACAACTTTTATACGTAGTTTTCCCATTATGGTGTAAAATAGAAAATAGAAAATAAATAATTACCTACTACTATCCTACTGACGGAAATGTATATGACCGATGGGAAAACAAGAGCATAAGACATAAGTGTATAACCCTGTACTATTGTACGGAATGAAAAGGTCAAAAGGTTTCGAACGCGTTTACCCTCATAATTTACTCTTGCGGGTGATGGCAGGGAGGTGGGCCCCGCAGACTTGAAACTTATGCTGGAAAATTATATACAGCTGCAGTAGGTAGCTGGTAACCTCCATGTATTATTTTGCGGTACCAGTAATTTGCTATTATGTACAATTGATAATAAACAATAACAATTAGGTACTATCGTTAACCTGCTGTATATTATGTTGCATAGGCTTTAACGGCGGGTTAGGAAGAAAATTATAATAATATATTATGTATACACTATTATAAACGGGTTGCGTTTTATAGCTTGTTCGCTAGGGGGTAAATATAATGTACTAAGTATATAATATTATAATAGTGTGATGCATCATATATGTGTATATACAATTCAGAACCTGAACATAACCACTCCATTACAATTATATGTAAAGAATAACACGTGATTAAATTAATAATATTATTTAGAATGTATACTACTTAAAACGCGGATGTCATCGACTTGGATGCTGAGTGCAGACAGTCGTGGAAGTAGTTGGTTAAAAGTTATTTTTTTTCCATAAATAAATATGAGAGGATTATAGTTTTTTAAAAATATTTATGAAGTTTAGTTAACAACTATGTGTACCAATTATACCAAAATTAATTTTATTGTAATAGTGTAACGTTATTTACAATAATTGTTATTACCTACCGTTTAAATTAACGAGATATTTTGTCATATAAATTATAATAAAGATCACAGAAAAAGTATATTTCAATAGATATAAAATAATTGTTTCCATATATCTATAGTTAAACAAAATATGACGCAAGTCTTATTAGAGATACAGTAAATTAGATAATAATGAGAGTAGAAAAAAATATTCAATACGCATTTTACATAACATACTATTTTATATTTTTGTTTCTATGATTTGACTATGACTATGATTTGAATATACATGATAATATCACTTAAAATAAAATAATATAATACCAATTGTGTAGATAATTTGACTTTGCCAGACATAAAAATCAAAAATCACAAAATACAGAGCTATATTATATCGGTGTATCTCAGTGTTAGTGTACCTACATCAGTTCATGATAAATCGCATCGGTGCACTGCTTTGAGAACAAATCCATCGAAATTAATTGAATATAGAATTTGGTATATTTTTTAACTTGGTCCAAACTACTCTCTACATTTTCTGGATATCTCTAAGAACAATCTAAATTTTTTGTCAAAATCTGTTCAATGGTTTTTGACACCATCAGCTTCAGCTACAAACAAACGGATGTTGCCTTTTGATGTAGATACAAATTTGAATAACAAACAATACATTAATTAGATATATCCTGTAGCAACGCGTGGCGGGCAAGATAGTTTATACCAATTTTTTTTTCTGCAACCAATGACAAATCTATTTATAAATAAAAAATATTCGATTTTCATGTGTGAGCTACCCTATAGGCCTATGTTATAGCAACATATATGCCATAATAGGCTTATAAATATAGCTATAAAAACTTCTCAAGAAATTTGAGTGCAAAATTATTTGCCTTCATGACTCTATGGTTTCTATGGTAATAACTTATAAAAAATGATCTCTGTATAATAATTATACTACATTAATTTCAATTAAACATTTTATTTTTTATTTTTCTAATATTAACTTAATACTTGACGGCGATGACGACTGTGACGGATGATTATCTTTTAATGATCGAAATCCGATCACTCTACGATGCATGAGAGTTTTTCCTGTAAGGCTTTTTAAGACATTCAAATGTATTTACCATTTAATACATGTAATATATTAATAATAGTATTATAATATTATATAATAACATTTTTCTTTTTTAAATATCCCTATTATACTTATTTGATTACGAATTATAAAAATAAAGTTGGTAAGTGCGATTCCAGTGAGCACACGGCAACAATAAAATGAAAAATGATTTTCACTATTTTGGATAAGTAGGTGTTTAAACAATTCATAAAAATTAAATAAAAAAATTGAAATGAACGACCAAATAATGAACGAATTCATCTTTTTAAATAACATGAACGAGAACGAAAATGTTCCGTAGATAGTAGTAGGTAGTAGGTTTTCCATATCGCAAAAGTACCAGGATCTCATGCAGTATACCTGACAGGCGGCCAGTACTAAAAATGTGTGTTGACGTCGTGCATCTGTACGTTCGGTTGCCAAAATAAAAACTCCTTGTGATGTTGGCTACCCGATCGTCGAGTACTTTTTCTTCGAAGTATACATATTTTATAATATCATAATTATACTCATCATTTAAGCGAATCCACAATTCTGCAGTGTAATAAGTAATAACTAATTTAGAAATAATCTTTTGCTTAAAAATAATAACTGAATTGTGACACAAAGGTCAACAGTTATAAACATTATGAAATAATTATTGTATTCAAATCTATGGAATTACATTTTCAAATTAAAAAAAATCATATGTAAATACATGATTATTGATTCATGAGGCTATTAAATGACACTGAATATTATTAAGTATTGACTAAAGTTTAATTTATAAAAGTAAAATTATTATATATGGTCATAACTCTTAATTAAAATTGTTTTCAGTACAAGCTTAATACATATGTGATACCAACTGTGACGGGTGATAATTTTTTTTTCATACCCTCTGTTAAGATATTTCACTTCATATTCAAGTACTTGTAACAAGCACTTTTTTATATTTATATTTATATTAAGTATTTTTTTAAAAGGCATCAACTGTAGGTTATTAGCTTGTTTTTTCTGTAGGAGCAGTACGGTCCGGAACACGTGTATATTTTCTCAACTCTTAAAGGCAGCTTAAGGGTAGCTCACATATGCATTTTTTTCAGCTCATGTAAAACCAATATTCTTTATGGTTATTTAGACGATTGCTATATTTCTACTAATTATAATAATAGCTAATGACGTTATGTAATATTTACATAACCAATGGCAACCATTTACTTAAACAACAAGAATAAATGCACGACAATTTACATTGTAAATCTATTTTTCTAATTTTATTATACTGGATAGTTGGCGCCACCAGTTTATTCTTATTTCACCACTATTTCCCCTCTTCAAGTTTTATTTTTGAGTCAAAAGTTGTATACAACCTTCCTTAAGAATTGGGCTACTAAATGCAAAAGGAATTATTCAAATCCGACTGGTACTTTCAGAGATCACCTCGAGCGTACATCTGGATGCCTTCGTCTTTATATATATTAATATAGATAATATACTAGTTTAAATAATAATGAAAATGATAAGATGACTGACTGACCATTGGCCGGGTTTGGCTGAAATTTGGCTTATAGATAGCTACTATGACTTGGCATCATTTGGGGATTTAACCTCTAAAGGGGAAAATAAGAGGTTGTAGGAATACAATAATGGCGCAATCTGCTCAACAAAATCAAATTAAAAAAAAAACGCTAGTGGCGCCATATTATTTCCAAAAAATGAATGTTAATGTCAACAGTTTAATTGTGATTATTACTTAATTTGTCACTAAATTACAAAACGTTGAACTCGACATTTAGAATTATTGTGGTTCTTCAAATGCTATAGATGTGCTTGGAAATTGGTATTATTTCACTTCATTTTATTTATTTGAATAACAGTGGGTAAATAAATATTAATAAATATTTATTCATTGGTGATCTTTCTTATAAATTAATTGTAAAGATTACGAGTATTTAATGAGCACAGTTGCCATATATTGCCTGTATATGTGACTAAGTTGCACGTGCTGTAGTTCATATATATCTGCAGATATACTGTTTGCATGTGGTCCGCTGATTGCCTACCCAAGTAAGTACTAAATTGCACATAAATCGATTTTCACTTGACTGTCTTGCTGGATACAAAAACTCAGTTTTTGATCTTACACTTTTCACATACAAAAAAAGCACTGGATATACATACGGCACATAAGTTAAAAAACATTCAATCAAGCATACATTAAAATAAATAAAAAAATCTTTGAACGGCAAACGCCGGGTGGAACAGCTGGTGTATAATAATATATATACAATATCTATAGTATAATATATTTTTAATATCAATAAAACAATATGTTTCCAACACCGTATAATTATCTATGCTATAATGTATAAAGAAGAACTATTTGTTCGTTGGTTCGGAGTAATCTCTGAAACTACTTAATAGATTTGAAATTTTTTTTAATCCACAGAAAGCTACACTATCTCAAGGACTCATGGCCATTTTTGATCACGATAAGTAGCACATAATTTTTTTTATTGCAAATTTGAGATTTTTTTATATAAATATTATAAATAACAATAATAATTAATAATAATATATACGAGTAAGCCTATTGGTTACAAAAAATAAAATAGTCATGATGCAGTTGAATATAATTTTAGTCCTGTATTTTATACTTGGTTTAAACCACCAAAATGAGTGTGACTACAAATCAGTAACCACTAACTGTTATGACTGTGTTAAAAATCTTAAATGAAGATTAAGATGGATTAAATCCACGGGGATTTGTGAATTTGTCTCAGGAACTTTTGAACATCACTATGCTGTCGGATATTTAATGTATTTAAATTTTATATTATTAATTTGTAAAACATACTGTACAAAAAATATTGTTTAAGAATGAACTGTTTCAACTACCCAGCTCATTTTATTTGATTAGTAATTTTTTTTTTTACACATTTTCAACATAGGTAAAATACTATCATACTGTAACATTATTGTTCCTAGATTTTTGTTAGGTATAAAAGCGTAACATTTTTTTGATGTTATGTATGACATTCCTTTTTTCAATTCCTGTAATAACTCATGAGTACGATAGTATTAATGATTTTTTATTCATTATTAAAAGACTAATAAATTACAATTTTGTAAGTATTAGACAAAAGTGACCATTTTATTTTTGAAATTCAGGTCACTTTAAGGCTGTTGAAAGCAAATAATTTTTTTCGTACATTCAGACCAATTAGCGGAATAAAAATAAATAAGCTTCCAGAAGTCCAATTTGAATTTTGAAAAAATATTTGAATATTTTTGCTTCTTGTCTGTGTTTTGTAGGAAACAATTTGTTTTTTTTAGTTACACTAAAGTAAAAATGAATTTTGAAAAAAAAATGTATTGGGTACCTACTATTCTAATTATACAACACAATAAATCGAAAATCCATTTCCTACATGACGTGGAAAAGAGAATTGGGAATTCAAATATCTTTTCAAAATTAAAATCCGGTTTTTGGTACTGTTTAAATGTTTCTCCCGCTTTTTAAGACTTTAGTGTTGAAACTTTTTTGATCGTAAAATATAGTGACGTGTGACTACTCGTACGTACGTTACGGATTTCCAAGTATCTTAGCCGTAGTTTATCTTTAATTTCATAAAGCGTTCGGGGAACTCATGCACACTAATGATCAGTCACTACACTCACAGTCACACATCACTCACGATGAATATAAGATATTGCCTAAATCCAACCCCTTAAAAATGGTTAGCTTTCAACAGCGGGGCCTGTCCGTGTGTCTTTACTAAGGAGCAATATTTAGGCAATATGCAATTTCGTTGCTGCCGCCAGTGGCATGCCTGTTAGTCGCCCATGATTATAATTTATAATAGTGTGAGTGTGATTGTATGTGGGTACCGGGCTATCTGATATATTAATCATTTGATTACGAATTATAGTAATATGCAATTCCTGTGGCCACTGCTCGACATACAACAACAACAATATTAAAATGCTTACGGTTTCGTTAAGTATTTAACGATTCAAAAAAATTAAATAAAAAAATTTAAATGAACGACCAAATGAACGCATTTGTCTTTTCAAAGAACACGAACGTGAACGAATTCAAATTTTTAGAGATCGTTGAAAATATAGGTAGGAAGTAGTAGGTTTTCTATATCCCAAAAGTACCAGGATCTCATGCTGTTTACGTGATGGGTGACCAGTATTCAAAATAAGTGTTGATGAAGTGCATATTATATACGTTCGATTGTCAAAATAAAAACTCTTTGCTATGTTAGCCCTGAAGCCTCCACACCACTCACATCGACGTAACTTGAGCGTCAATATAGTTTTCGCGTATAATAAACCATTATTATATTAAATGTTTAAAATGTTTGAATACCGCCTTAACTATTCATTGGAAATTCACTATCATTTGGATCTCTCATCTCTGACAGTCCGCATACAACAATATTAATATATAGTATTATTTGGACTGATCAGTAGAAATACAGAAATCGACTTCGGTGACCTATAATGACATTATTATACGTCATTATAATACTAACATGTCCTGCAGTAATGACATATTACACAAGACATAACATTTAAGATATTATCGTAACATATGATGGCGGTGATCTTGATTTGATGATATCACGGATCTTGTAATGATAACATAACGAGACATAACGACCACAAGATCACTATAAATCATAACGTTTGTAGGTAAGTGTAGTAGGATAGTGAGTTGTAAAACGAATAGAGGCATTTCTACTATTTTTTATTATTATTCACTACACTATCGTGTAAAATACAATGTTTTGTGTCATAGTTTTTTATTTGTTTTGCCAAAACAGTAATTATTGTTTAATTATTCATTATCTTATAAATCTTTGTGTGGATAGTGAAAAAGACGAACTTATTACAGTCAATATAGAAATTGGAAATTTAATTTGTTACCTACCTGAAAAATAGTGATTTTTTTATTTATTCTCTTTTATTTGCGTCCCGTCTACTTATGTTGGTACATAATAATAACAATAATTATGATTCCACGTTATCTCGGATAAAAATATTAACTAAGCTACTGTAGTGGATCCGTTGGAAGAATCGATTTATAAAATTGTTACATTCTTCGATTATACTTGTCGAATGTAGTACCTATACGACCACTGGTATAACTACTTATCAAAATTCATGTACACACCGCCTTTGGTTTAAGTTAGGTAAGATGTCAGAAGGCACTTACCACGTTAGGTCGGCTCGTTGATTTGGAAGGCGACCGTTTGTTGTTCCATTCGGCGATCAATTGGTCAAAGTGTTGTGATTGCGCCAAAGCGGCCTGCTCTGGACCCAGATTCTGTAAACACGAGTGGTTTGGTCAATAGGTAAATCTCTCGTTCAAAACATGCAAAAATGTGTGTGGATAGTAGTCACTGAAGTCGCTTGTATTTGTACGTTTGTGTGAGTACGTACCTGTGATCCCATGTTCTCGTTATTATTGGCCTGTTTCGATATTTCTTCCATGCTGGCCGAGACGGAAAACCGGCGGAGCTTTTCGTCGACGGCAGCCCGTGTTATCGACGAGGTCAAGTGTGCGTACTTTCGTTGCCACGTGTACGAGTCCAACGAGTATTCTTTGATCAACATCCTCCTCATGGGTTTTTTGGCGGCTAGAGATCTGTGTTCTAGAATATATTGGCATAACAAAAACATCAATACATCATCATAATGACTGTTATAGGTATACGATCAAAATAATATTAGTAGTATTGTCATAACTCATAATATTATACTCGGAACTGGAACAATAATGATTTTATAGATTACCGTTCGTCGAAATACAAATTTAAGATGTTTCAATTTCAATTTGTTAAATACCTACTGATGCTTAGTACGATTCGATGCTTGTGAATTCACAATTTAATAATTATCATAACTTATATCTCTGCTGATACATCGCTTATGGGTGCATTGTGCTATAACTAACAATATTATGTTGTATTATAATATTATGCATTTACTCTAATCTTGAGAGTAAAATAGTAAAATATCTACGTTTATATTTCTAATTCGTCTGTATTTATTATTTTACAATCGGTTATTATTATAATATGGAAATCATTTAATTTATAAGTTAATTATGGTGAGTGACGGAATCGTTTTTTTGTATAGAAAATGATTTATCATTGAATTCAAATAACAATTCTTTTAACACAACAATTAGTTAGTTAAATTACAATGACCTATTGGATGACGAGGTAGGTACACTTGAAATCTATATACAGCAAAAGCTAGTTCCCCAGGGTTTTAAATAAAATTTATTAAAAACTGAAAATTTGTAATAACCCTAAAACAATTTTATCTAAAAATTCAGGTTTCGATTACTATGGTTCTTAAAAGAATAATTTTAAGTAATGGTTTCAGTGGCGGGAGAAGACGGAGGATCGATTAGGTTTATCAAATTTCAAAAGGTTCCTGTTTTAATACTACAGATTTTTGTTCGGTTCCATTTCTCACTCGGTATTATAAAATAATATCAATGGATTGTTTGTAGAAAAATTAACTGAGTCATGTGGCGAATGAGTAAAAAAAAATGTCTCGAATTACCTGTGTATAGGTACTACGAGTGTAGAGTGCAGAGCTATTTAAAATGGTATGACAAAGTTCAAGAGATAGGAGTGGTTATCGTGGCAGAAAGAAAAAAATGAAAAGTAGTACCATAAAATAATTGGACGGGGTTTGTGCAGTGGGTACTCAAACGTGGTCGTGTATGATGCACACATTTCATTGTGTACTCGAACGTGATGTAATTTTACTGAAAAAAAATCACTTTATGATTAAACACGGGACGGCCATTAAAACGATCCGAGAATACAATTATAATAAAATAAAATGTCTCAAATTTTAATTCGCTTTTAAGCTGTAATACAATATTATAATGTATTCGTTTTAGGTTATTATAATAGTTTTACGTTGTTTGCGTTTTTGTATAAATCTCGGTAAATCAAGAGTGACTTTTTTGTCGTTGTAAAATGTAATAAAACGTCATGCGTGTACCTATATATATATGGGTTACAGCCCACGCAACTCGAGCACTGAGTTTATTATATTATTTATCGAGTTTTCAGTTTTATTTAGTTAAATAATTATAGTGTTTCATATGTTTTGGTCGTTCACCCTGACACGCGCCTAATATAAGTTATTATGCTCATTAATCGATGGGTCTAAAGCGACGAAGGTGACCTTATTTTATTTTTTTCTATCTAATATTTTATGACGTTTTTTTTTTTTTTTGTGACAAGTGAAACATCGGATATGTAGGGATATGTAAGGGGCTTATGATGACTCTAAACGCATGTTAAGAATATTTTTAAAAAATACTTCACCTTTTATTGCTGAAAATAATGCTTAACAACCTTTGATTTTTAAAAGCCATTAACACGGAAACATGCGTTTAGTACCTATTCATTTTCAATTTTTAAAATATTTAATTAAGAGTTTATAGCTTCCATTTTTTAAAAAGTTGTCCGACTATTTTTGGTACGGTTCCAGTCGCGAGTTGTTACTTGTTAGCGAGATTCTCGCTTTGTGAAAACCTTTTTTTTCTTCAAAATATTCAATAACTGATGCTATATTTATCGATATTTATCGTTCCGTTTATTTATAATTACAATATAGTGCTCATACCTCGGTTGATAAACACCGGAACCTTGACGTACTGTGCGGGCGTGTTCATCAGCTGTGTGATGGGCAAGTACTGGCTCTCGTACAGGTGTACCGCAACCCGGGTCACGTCCGTGGACATAGAGAGGCCCAAAATGGGGAGGTGCAGTTGCAGTGACGTCAGTGGGACACCGCGTTTCGTGTCCCATACGATTATGCGCTTGTCGTCGGACCCGGACAAGGCCACCGAACCGTCACCGCTTAGTTTGACACACGTCACGTGGCCTAAGTGACCGGTTAGCAGGTGTCTGTCGTCGCCCGTGTGTATGTCCCATATGATTAAGTTGGCGTCCCATGAACCTGATACAACGATCGACTTGTCGCTGATGGCTACGGCCACGCACGTCACCTGGTCTTCGTGTCCGACTAACACCTATGGCGTACGTACAAGAATATGTGTAATATATTCAGTATTCACATGATGTGGTAGTGAGTGAGTGGACGAGTGGGAGATGGATCGTTTTTATGAAATTTAATGAAGAGGTCGATACTTATTTCGATAGCTTAAAAAATTTATTTTTACTGCGAAACCTTTATTACATTTTGATTTTTAAATGGCAACTAATTTCATCATTATAATTATTGTTCAGTTTATCGACTTTAATAGTTTAGTTACTTACATATTTTTCCGTAATTGTTTAAACAAAAAAAATATTCCTACACGTCTACACCCGCAGGGACATCAGTGAGGGACTGGTGGGTAGATAATATCCGTGTCGGTAATACACGTACCTGTGACAGTTTACCGCCATTGATTTGCCACACTTTCAACGACATGTCTTTGGACCCGGTGATTATTTGTAACGAGTCGTAGGTTATCACGAAACACGTTATCTCTTCCGTGTGACTGACCGGCCATTTTTCAGTCCAAGGGCCTCCCTCATTCTTGATAGACAACGGCCAGATGTGCAGCCTATGTAAAACCATCATAAAATATATACTGAGGTATCGTGACTTGCTAGGTTTTGATTCACAAAAATGAAAAGATTGAGGTTTCTGAATCGACTTTATTAAGAATTGGAATAAAATAACATTATATGAATACAAATTTAATTTTGTCCGATTTTTAATTATTTATTAATTAATTAAATTATAAAATATAAATAATAATAAATATACGCTACATATTTTAGGTTTAAAATAATAGGTTTTGTGTTCAAAGATTATTTTATGGATTAAATTGTATTAAAAATTAATACGAAATTACCAAAAATGCATTTATAGATCTATCTTCATGAAAAATCATTAATATGCGAAATATTGAAAATATGACCAGAATATGCAAAAATATCAAAAATGAACTACAAATATGAATGCACTAGGTTATAGAATATAATTTTTACTCATATATAGAATTCGTTGACAAAAATAAGCAATTTCTATAACTTCTCATTTCCAGACTCCTAGTAATTAGCAAAATAAAATATGGGTTTGAAATGTAAGTAAATTGTAAGTAATTTAGATATTGAAATCGTGTAATTGTCATCAAATAATATTAAAAGTACCCGGGAATTGACTGCAGTTTTTTTTAAGTATTAGGGTTTCCTAAAATAAAAAATAATCCATTAAATAATTAAAAACTCCTCAATATCAACATTCCCGTTCCAATTTTGGCATTAGTAGTAAAATAATAACAGTATTATGATTCTGATCGCTTTAGACTTAGTTCAGTTATACGGACTCAATCGAAACAATGTCTACCGAGTTCTGACTTACGAAAAATGGCCGTCACCGCTGACAAGGTATTTCATGTTGTTGGTCACTGACAGGTTGGTCGCCGGGCATATCACCGAGTTGAGTAGCGTTCCATTGTCTGACAGCCAAACTGCTATGACGCCCGCCTTGTCACTGGACACGACCTTCTCGCTGTCTGAGGTAACCTCCACGGCAGTGATGGCTGACTGGTGGCCCTGTCGATTGGTCAAACAACAGTGATTTTTATGAGAAACAAAAATTAAAAGACGCTGAAATAGACTAAGATGTTATTACAGACAACTCCGAGTATATTATAGGCATATAAGCTTACATTTTAACCTACCTTAATATTATAAGGTGTACTTACGCTGAATGTGAAAACGGCATTGCCCACGGTTAGGCCCCAGACCAACACAAGTTTGTCCTCTGAACCGGATACGGCGAAAAGTCCGTTGGAAGCGATGGCTAGACACGTTATAGCGGCAGTGTGGCCGTGCATGGTCGAGTGTAGCTCGTTGTTGTTCAGTTTATAGACGTTTTCTAAGCTCTCCACGTTCAGATGCCAGACGTTAACCAGACTGTCCAAGCCACCTGTGTGGGAGACATGTAAGTAAGCCGATTTTATAATTTAGTAAGAACATTTGTCTCATAAGTATTATCGGAGTTTGAACTAGGTCGCGCTAAAAGTTGACTAAAATCGCACCTAATATTATTTATTTATTTGATTGATTAGTTTATTGATAACTAATGGGCAATAGAGTTGCTTAAAATAAATATTTAACTTACGAATAAATAATTATTATGTATCAACTATTGTTTTGTATAATCAAATTAACAATATTTTTGAATATGAAGATAATATCTTCAACTTATATCTATGAAAACAATTTATTCAAAATTTAAAAATGAATACTGAAGTTTTGATTCACTATCAAAGTTAAAATGAAAATTATTATGACAGTAACAAACCCGAAGCATAAGACTTTTTGGTTCTTAAAACTATAAGATTGTGAGTCTAACGACTCATAAAAGCAAACTTTGACCGGGTGTAAAAAGTTGGAATCAACCAACCTATTTCTTCTAGTATTTCAGGAAAAGTATGATATAATGGTGTATTTTATGTTATAAATAAACGGTTTGTCTGAACAAGCTGGGATGAATTCCATATTATGGATCCATACTCTAGATTTGAACGTATCGGAGAACAATATAAAGTTTTTAGGCATTGAATTTCTTTAAAGTCCCAGCATTGACGCTTCATAAACGCTAATATGCTCAAGAGTGTTCGAGCCCTGTCTTATTATGTACATATCATACCTGTAACAGCCATTGTGCCGTCTCGCGATATGTCCAAACAGGTGATGGCACTGGTGTGTGGTTTTCGGGACAACGGAGACGATTGTTTGTTGATCGTGTGCGCGCTTCCCATTTTTCGGAAATTCCAGTAAGCGATTTTGCCGTTGCCTAATATAATAACGACATGATGTGAGAGGCAAGAAATCAAAACTCTCCTCACCATACATCACTCCAACACCCACAACACACTCACACAATCACTCAATACACTTCTCAATATTGTTGCTTACCCGCTGTGACGAGGAAGTCGTCGTTGTTGGTGATTTTCACGGCGATCACTTCTTTGTGGTGCGGTGCCGTAGATATTGGCACGAGGTCCAAGTCTCCCGAATGTATGTCATAGATGTACACCCTGGAGTCAACGCCGGCTACCACTGCCCGCTGACAGTCTTCGGCCAATGCGATCGACATGATTTTGGAACAGTATCCTTTTAAGTTGTGTATGAGCGTACCCGTCGCCAGTGCGTGTAGCCACAACTGGTTTCCCTCGCACAGCACTAACAGGAACATCGAGTCGACCGATATGTCCAACATTTCCACTGGTCCGGGTAGAGCGATGGTGTTGAGCAGGTCGAGAGTATCCATTTCCCAAAGGCATACTGTGCAATCAGACGAACCTGCAAACGCGACGTTACTGTTAGACGCTGAAATTATAATCTCCGAGGAAAGTGAATTTGGTTTTTGTTTGCCAGATATTTTAAACATTAAATTTCTATCACTTTTAATCTATACGTTATACCCTAGGGTTAAATTATATCAAACCCATATACTATTTTTGTACTTGTCACGCTACATATACGATCCTTCAAAAGTCAAAAGTTCATTGTTTATTTTATAAATATATTTTTTAGTTAAAATAATATCATAATATTTTTTGTTTTTAAAAAAAATTATGAAAAATTGTTTAATGTAATACTTAAGTTGAATCTATCAAATTTAGGTCAACCAATAAAAAAATAACCAAATATTCTCAAAATCACAAAACTGATAAGATTACCAAAATCATGATAAAATTCCTAATCTAACAATATGTCATGTTGTGTATATGTACCAGTAACTAAGACGTCTTGTGATGTTAATTGAACTGCCGTAACGGGTCCTTTATGGTAGTCAATTTTTTTTACCATTTTGCCTTTTAACGTGTACAGAAGTATTTTACTATTTTCGCAACCCAAAACCACACCAAGTTCTTTGTTGCCACCATCGTTGATAGTCGCCACGCAAAGGCTTAACACAAGAGATTCTAAGTCACTGTAAAAAAAAAAATTAAAAGATTACCCACACATTTTAGGTGCACATAACGTGTGTGTGAATAAGTTAGCTAAAAGTTGATGGTTGCGGCAAAACGAATAGTCCATATCCATGAACATGTAGAGAAACGTTAACAATTATTCAATTTTGAAACCATCCAACACCTTTGATTTTCATTTCTTGGAACTTCGTAAATTGTATAAAATATTTGGAATTTAGAACTAAAAAATATATGCAGACTGAAGAACTTTTGAAACATTGGAGAACAAAATACATCACTTTTAATATAAATTTGGAATTAGCTTGTGATTTTTTCTTAATGTTTCAAAAGTCACTCTATTGGCATAAACTTGGCAGAAAAAATATTTTTATAAAATTAAAACAATTCAGAATATTTGGATTTAACTTTTGGATGATTTTAAAAGCAAACCACTGACATCTTTCTATTGCAAGTTTATGGAAACGAATATAGCTCACGTGTATTTCGCTAATAAAGCGTATGTGTTTAGATCCCAGACTAGAACGCTGCGGTCTTCAGAACCGGTGACTAATAACTGAGGGTTTTTGTTCACATTCAAACACTTGATTGGTTTCTGATGTCCTTTGAATGTCTGGACTCTCGCGTTTCCCATCGTGTGCCAAAGTTGAGCGTCGCCTTCTTTAGGTATAACAACCACGTGTTGTGCTGAAGGCGTAGGAGCTATATGCCGGATCGGTATACCGCAGTTAACGCCTGAATAATAAACCGCATCGATATCAATATCAAGGAGTGTGTAAAATGTATTTTTTTTCATTGTCTTTCGATTTAATAATATTACATTTTATGTGAAGAGGCAAAGGAGGTTGTAGCCAACTTGTGTGCGGCACCAATAACGGATCTGTGAAACCGTCGCACCACGATACCGAACATCTTATGATTCTGTGCATTAGCTTGCTACTATCTATAATGTCAGTATGAAGTGTGGTTAATATCTATAGTGTATTCTGTGTATTGTGGTTTGATTCAAAATGCAAGTGTCGCCTTACCCGCCACGGGCCGTAGCCAACTAATGATTTGTGCCCCGAGTTGCAATGTATCCCTCGTGAGTACGTCACTTGATTTCCTCACTGTATAGTAAACTAATTCGACATCTCTATCCAACACATAGCATCGCGCGTGTTCTATGATTGACCGGAGGTAACTGACAGATATAGTTCGTACTGCCGCCAGTAAAAAGTCGAAATTACACAACGTCAGTTCTTTTAGTCTGATGTGGTCACCTGTGAATTTTCGTGTGTATTATTTTTAATTTCAATGATTACGGTACAAAATTATTGCATAATTTGCTATCGTTTATTTACCAGCTTTGAGCAGATGAATCCACGATTCCTCGACGTGTCTTAAACTATACGTCATGTCATTGTGTATAATGGTTTCTCCATCTTTACTTACCGCTGTAATAATAAATGTTTTCGTTATAATACTCGGTAGAATGGATACTTAAAAGTTTTTAAATGAATACTTAATTATATAGTACCAAAAAGTAGTAAAAAGTAGCAAAAAGGTAAACTACTATAATTAAAGTATACTTACAACCATCAGTTTTGGATTCTGATTCGTCTTTGGCAAATTCACTAAAGAACAAATTTCCTATTTCCATATGCAACGTTCTTTTATGTATCTTTGATGTAAGATACCTTTGCCTAACTACATCAAATGTTATTTTATGTCTCCAACATAATAATATGCGACCGCTCATGAATTTTTCGTATAAGAGAGGCACTATAAATATACATGTCAATAAATTCCTTTGATAATATTTAATATTTTTTAAAAGTAAACTTATCATTTTTATTCTCACTTATAGTTTTTTTAGCTGTACAAAATGTGGAAAAATTAAAATTCCCGTCTTCTAACTTCAAAGGAGTTCCAAAATCACCAGTTGTTGGCATAAGCAACTCAAGAAGTTCGGTTTCTGTTAAACCAAATTCGGATACCGATATGTACGAAGCTAATCTAGTAACGGCTTTAAGACCAAACGCTTGTTCGTAGTTCTCTAACATATTGTTGATATTTGTTTTGATTGTCTCTAAAAAAAAAAAGTTAACTTGTAATTTAAGACAAATAGCTGAGAAAAATTAATATTACTCATAACTTTTTTGAGTTACAGGAGAATTGAAATATTATAACCTATAGAGTGTTTCATAAACATGAATGAAAATGAAACGAGTGATATTTTTTTTTTGTTTTTATGTCAGCACTGATTTTATTTTCGTTGTTATCCGTTATATAATTTTGACTTAAGATTTTTAATGGTTCACGAGATTTGGTGTATTGTGTTAACCACGGTGGAAAATATAAATATACAGGACGATAATAAAAAATATATATTTTTGTAAATATAACTTTTTTAACAAAGTTATATTTGAATAATTTTCATCCAATTTTATGAAACACCCAGTACTTACTATAATTTATCGATTAATTAAAAATATATTTTTAAAATTTTTTTTTCTCATAGTAAGGAATATCTGAAAACCATAATATATTAATACTATATTTTATAAAAAAATAGGTTTTAAATGAATTCCATTTATTACGATTTTTGAATATGATAAAACCTTCAAATGAAAACCAAACCATTTTTGCGTGTTTATGTGATCGAAGTAAGATGAGTTCCTAAAATATTTGATAAGATCTATCAAATTTTGTTGGTGGAGTATAATTTTTCTTGCACTCTCATTTTTGAGCCGAAATTAAAAACATGGGTAAATATCCACGATAAGCTTATCATAAAATATCGATTTTCGGTAAGTATTTATATTTAATTAAAAAGAATACAAAATTCAATTTCTATGAAATTGTTAACTGTAAGTTAAGTTATTTCACCAAACAAAAAAGTTCAACACTAAATTATTCATAGAAAAGCGAGATTACAGTTTATGTTTTAACATTTATTTTTATTTTTAATACACCTTACCTATATTGGCGTCTGGTAGTTCCATATAAAATTCAGAATTTCTAAAACGGTCTTTTTGCATCGGGGTCATTTTCAATTCATCAGGAGTATTCAAGGTCGTGCATACGATATGTACGTTGAATGGCAGTACTGTGGGTAACCAGGACAGACCTGCAACTACATCTGAGTCCAAAGGGTTTAACCTATGTAAATCGTCGATGAACAAAACTAACGTCGACGACCTGCATTCGTCTTCAAATCGCTTTAACAGCGTCTGAAACCAATCGCTGATATACAGCGGGTCGAATGAGGCATCTAAAGGTACGCAAAGCCCGGTGGGCTGAAGAACGCAAGTTAGCTGCTCGCATATTATTCTCAATAGTTCCAGGTTGTACGAAGCTCTCGGCGTCACACCCGAAAACCTCACTATCCTCACTGGTTTCTTATCGAACCATTTTTCACATTCTTGATAAATGTTGGTGATTATTGATGTTTTTCCGGAGCCCAGACCTCCACGTATGATGATCGGGCCGTGTTTAGTAGTCGTGGACATCATTTTTCGTATCTTGGTGACTGTGTCAAATCGAGGATTCCGAGGATTTAGTTTAATCAGATCTTTGCAGTGTACTATGTGTACTATCGCTTCCTTGAGCACTTCCTGTATAGTTTTGTTCCTGGCATTCAACTCGGGTTTATGTTCAATGCTTGTGTTTATCATACTTTGCATTTTTGACATGACTGCTTCTTGGAATATGGTCAAATACATATCATGCTCGGGATGTTCACCATCGATACCCCCGGGTTTCCATTCCACACTGTAATTGCAATTGGTTTTTGTCTAATCAAATTTACACAGAAAATGATGAGCACTTACCTTAATTCAATTAGATTATCTGATGATACAGTGTCCTTTAAGAAATGTTTGAATGATGAAACCGTCTCGTCAATTCCACTTTCATAATTGTGCCGTCCAGTGAATTCTCTATTGAACACGACCATGTGATCTTTATCCAAGTCTAAACGAAATATGTTTATCATGATTATTATTATTTTCAAAAATATTATGACGTGATAATATAACTAACCTAGAGCGTGTAAAGTTTGATGTTGGACCGCTGAATGAAATATTTGTGGATCAACAATCAAACCTCTGCTTAATAGTTCTTGTGACGCTTCTTGCATTACTACTAAAGCTTTTTCATTTTTCTCAAACCAAAGGCGTAATTGTTCTTGATCCTTGTCATCACTGAATACAATTTAAATAAATGTTTAAACAGCTTTTTTACAAGCAGTTAAGTAGTAAAGATCAAAATATATTTTTAAATTAAAATTATTTTTTTTGTGTTATATATAGCTGTAATAAACACAGTGAATTCAAAATATAATTCAGAACTTGTCTGATGTATGACCTATTGAACAATACTACCTACCGAAATCTGTTGCATGTCATCTTTGCTACTACCTAGCCAATTAATTATTAGTTTTTAAAAACTTAGGTACTTTTTTATTTATGATAATAATATAACCATATTTATCATTGTCGAATAATTAATTTTATCTGAATATATTTTTTTTTTTTATTGAACTTAAGCCAGGTGACTAAGGCCATTAGCTGTTGTAGGGGTTATGAACTATGGTAGGGGTAAGGTTGGTACGGTAAGTTGTTTTTTCACGATTGTTACGGTAGGTAGCAAACACGTGTATGTGTGGCAAGGTTTTTAATTACTATGAACCCAGGTGGTCACCCATCCGGGAGCTAGTAGATGTGGCCGTTACTTACTACCAGAATGCGACTAGTAGCAGCCAACTCACCACGCCAAGCTAGTATCTGAATATTATACTGTAGCTCATATGTTCTTAATTATATACTGTTTATAAATAATAAGTCGTTCCAGAAAACTTTCTTTGCTTATATGCATTCAAATAAGAAATTAACCGACCTCAACCGTTCTTCTTGGAATAATTGACGATCTAACATAATATCTGTTGCCTCGCGTGTTTTAGGTTAGGTTAGGTTTTTAGTTATAAATTGTATTAACATAAAAATAATTTAGTATAATAACATTGTTACACTTTCATTAAAATCTAGTCTTATGAGCAATGCTAAGACATGCTCGTAGTGTACTAGTGTCTTATATGCCTAAAAATATTTATGGTGTTATTCTTGTTATTTATTACATAATATAGAAAAAATAAAAAGAATAAATATTTGTCTGTTAGAATAATAAAATTTATGATGGATAACAATTTTTTAGTAAGTTGCATGCAGTACTAACAACATTCTGTGGTTGGTAGCAACAATACTAGTACCTTAAATGGCTAAATTGCCTAAATTCATATTATAACAACTGTAAAGCCGTTTAGGAATATTGAGATTATTAAAGTTGTATCGTTTAAAAACCAATTTTTTTTAAAGTTCATGTCAAAAATATGCCATGAAATTAAACGCATTCAAAATTTAAATATATTGATTTTCCACTAGGGAGATCTTAGGGTGAACGTTTGGATATTCTGTATTAATATATCATAGTCAATAATTATAATAAATACGTTATCAATATTGCTGTATATTTTTACTACCTATATTTTATTACATCTAAACACCTAATTCAATTTCAAATATTCTTTTCTTCTTTTTAGTTTTTATGAAGTCTTAATTATTTTGGGTATCACTATATTGATTATAATGGTATTAATAATAATTTATAATCAATGGTACTACTGACTTCTATATAGTATTATACTTTCTGAGGTTGTTTTTATTATGTTCAAGTCAATGTAATAAACATATTAAATTCAAAAATACTTATTCACAAAGAAATGACAAATTCTACTTTATCTATACCTATCTGATTATATTTTGAAAACAGACTATCAAACTATAATATATTATATAAGAATTTCTTTTATACAACTTTATTCAATTAACTCTAAACTCTAAAGGGATATTTTATTTTCTGAATATGTGAGTTATACAATTTATTTTTGTTGTTTGATTTTGCTATTTGAACATTATAGTATATAGAGAGAAGAAATATTGTTAACTGTGACACGGTATCGTATTAGCATAATAATGATAGGTAATCATATATTGCAACTGTATTTTGTATTAATATTAAATAAAATATCTTCAATTTTATATATGTTTTTGTACCTTCAATTCTATTATAATGTACTTTCTACTCAAAATTTATAGGTAGTAGGTACTACACATGCAATTCTATACTAGGAGTATTTCATTTTGTCTGTTATTATATTTTTTTAAATGAAGTATAAAAACTCGTACTATGATGTGTATAATATAACGATATAATATTATGGCACCACATATTGTAAAAATCTTTGATGTTGTTGAAATAATTTTTATTTAATTTAATTTAGTGAACATTTTATTTTCTTTATGGTGGAATGCTAGAAAAATAACAGGTTTATTATACGTTGGTATAAATGTTTTAGTGGGTAGTGGTGAATTTTCTAATAGGATAATGAAAATTTATTTTTCAATCGATGCAAGTTGATATTTCGTTTTAACAATCCCTACATTATTCGTTGACTGTCTGTCTCGGTCACGTATATTGACTTTTATTTTACAATAAAAATATACTTCTGATGTCTGTCTACCCACGGTCATCATAATATCATTCTTCACAGTCACGTGTTTCGATTCATTCAGTCGGTAAACATTATGATGCATTAATGCATTGTCCATTTGTCCACATAGATAAAATATAAACATATAGAAGAAAAAAATTCAAACTTTATGTTGACTGAGTAATCTACCATTCAATATATCAATTTGATATACGACTGCGTTATCGACTTGTTGAAATTTATGTCATTGTTTAAACATTTCATGGATCATCAATTTAATCTATTAAATGCATATATTTTATATAAACGAATAATAAATTATAGCTTGAAGTTTTTTGTATTGTTTAATAATTTACTGTGTGAAAAAATAATTCTATGAACATGCGGTAATATTAATTGCATGTCCAGTGTGTGTAAAAAATGATCACTCAAAGTGGACACACCTATAGATTATATATTAATCTGATACAATTGGCTCATTAAAAAAAACATATTCATTTTTTTGTCACTATAGACAACCACGATGGATGGTACCTTTGAGTTGAAAAACCGTGTAAAGACACCTGCTCTGACTCCTTTCATTTTTCAGATTATACCAGGATCCTGTCAAAACCCTATTACCACGATAAGTCATTCGTTCGGTTGGGTGTTACAATGCGGTGACGGCCGACGGGTCTATGGCTCTGGCCGGATTGTGGTGGGACAAGGATTTGATTTATGTCTTTTGAACATGAATTCTATCTCACTGTGTGTGTAATTCTTGCTTGCAGCAATCTAGCAGAGGAGTAGGTTTATAAATATGACGGCCTTTTAAAATTAAGAAATGGTGGAAAAAATCAGTGATGGACCTACGGGATGTGACTCTGTTGAATGGATTAAAACTGGTGACAGCAGATGATGGGAGAACACCCTCACCCTTTCTAGACTCTAGTCCCTTAAAGTAAACTCCAGCGTAATATATTTGTCTTTGGATTACATCTACACAATCCTACTCGACAGTCGAACGTTGTCTAATTGCAAAATAAACACTGTTGGGCACCTCACTCCTCCAAAAAACACAGAAATACTTTAATCCACCGTCGTGCCCGAGGAATTAGTTTAGTACTTAATTTGAGTGAAAAAAAAGACGCAACAATAAATTTGAATCGTTGAACTGAGAATAATTATCCGATGAATTTTACATTAGCCAAACTACAGACAGAACTAATCAGGTTAAAACATTGAGGGACGAAATGAACAATATAACTAAGACTTTAATCATTTGAAGACAATTTTTTTTTAATGCCAGTTAATTAATAAAAAATAAAAATAATATAATATTATTAAGGCCGGTGTTGGCCGTACCTTATACAATACACACACTTTTAATAAGCTTATATTGTACTCGTTACAAGGTTTGATAATTTATTTGATATTTTCATAACATATTAACTGGGTATTGTTGATGATAGAACATTGTATATACCTATTAAGTACCTACCTCGTATCTAGTTATTAAAATATTAATATATATATAGGTACCTATATTTTTTTTCATTATATTTATGCATATTTTTTAATTTTCAGTATAATTATTACATGACAATCAAGGTTAATATATTATAGAGAGCACACATAGCTACATCATATATTTTATACTAATTCAATTTCTGCCCTAATGGTTAAGTTTGCTTATAAGTGAGTGATTATAATGCAAAAATAAAAATCAATAAATAAATTATAACATAGTGTTATGAAAATATTGTTTTGATATTTATTAATGTTTGTATATATTTTAGCTACGTGTTAAAAAAAATTAATGAAATAAACACGTTAAAACATTTTCCCTTCATAATTTAAAGTAAACAATTACTTTTGAGTGACAGCATAGCAGAATGGGTAGATTATATGAAAATATATATGAACACAACTTAATTTTACGCAAATAAAAAAAAATATTTCGTATCATTTAATTAGCAGGGTTTAACCTTTTACGTTAATTTTGTGATTTGTTTTGGAATTTCATATGAAAAATAATATCCGTCAATGTTTAATCAATAATTTCATATACTCCATGGAATAAAAGTACTGGTACGTTGTTGGTGGTTATAACGATTAAAATAATCGCTGCTATATTATTTTCAGGAATTAGTTTTTTAGTAGGTAATTTTTTTTTAAATGTCTTGAATTCTTATAAACATAATATTATTTTATGGAATTACGTTTAAATCAATTTTTTGTTTTTGTCTTTTCAATAACAATTATTATTGGTTCAAACAAAATTAAAACTATTTCAAGAAATTTGAAATTAGTAAGAACTATTTTCTTTTATATTTTGAATAATACAATTTTCAGAGTTGAATTTATGTTTTTATCTAATCAATAAGATAATCAAAACAATAGACAAGAAGCTATATAATATTATTGTTATTTCGTTTACTTGTTGGTATAGTAATAGTTTTCGGACGCTCCACAAAATAAATGATTTTGAAATATCTCAGTTAAAAACATAATAAAAATAAAGTATGTATTAATTTACAGTAGAAATCGTTTATGATGTCGTTCAAGAGACCAAGAAAAATAGGTCAAAATAACCAATAGTCATAACAACCAACATTAAAAATAAGTTCATTACAAAATGTTAACTTAAATTATGTAATAGCAAGTAATACAAACAATTCATTTTTTAGTCATAATAATTTGTTTTGATATGAGTATGTGAGTTAGACTTTATATTAGGTATGTCTAACTCAAAATAAACTGGGCCAAATATTTTGAATGGTAGTTAACTATACGGACCTCACATAAAAATTTATCGAAAAAAGTATTTTGTATACATTTAAAATTTTATTCATTAGTCATTACGAACACAACAGTTGCATTTCAATTTATTATTTTTTATTATTTAAATTACAAAAAAAATCAAATTAATTGTTTATGAGTTAATTATTATTTAAATTACAAAAACTCAAATTAGTTATTCATTTTTTATGTTTGTGGTATTTGACATCTCTATTTTTTGCCACTAACTTTTCTTTTTCCAAGGAAATGTTATTGGATGAAGCTACTTTTAAGAATTATACTCTGGCATAGTTGTGACACAAAATGAGAACTGTATATACATTTTATTTCATTTATTAATTTTACAATTAATATTGGTAGTAGTAGACCATATCAAGTAAGCACCGGGTCGCGTGTTTGATGTGCCTGCTTTATATAAATAAATTATTTACTACAAATATTTGGTAGTTTCCGTATAAATTGCACACGCCACAATCAGTAGGTAGGTGCTCGCAATCGTCTGACCCGATTCGTGGATAAATAATTATTGAACAATATAGACGCAATATTACTCGGAAATTAAAATTAAAAATATTTTCCCATTCATGGAAATGAGGCCCTTGCCGAAGTTGTTCTGAAAATGCCATCGGCCGCTGTCGGCGTTCTCGTTTATTTCCCACAGTAAAGACTATCTATATTATTAAATTGGCGTCCAACCAGAATTGATTTCATATACGTCACGATTTCTCGACTCGCAATTGCACCTTCACATTCCACGACGTGTAGGATAACGATAAAAACTGTCAAGCATTTCAGACTATGAACACACTGATTCGTATAGTGCAAATAGAGAAACATAATAACTGTGATTCTTGGGCGTTTGAGGGGGTTAGTGGGAGGAGGGTGTAGTGAGCTGAAAAATATTCAATTACAGTTCTTTATATTACTATTGATTGTACTGTCGAGTGTCGACGACGGTGTCGCAAATAATAATCCACATGGGTGCCCGGGCCTAGGATTTCGCCACTCACCGTGGAAGGTCTTGGGTCAGAATATTTTGCTGTCGGTTGTGGTTCGTTATTGATTTCGTCGTGAGAGTAAAAAAAATATAAAAAATGGCCAACACAACAACCGTAAGACTGTACCTAGGTATCTTTAGAGGTGGGTACTCACGGTTTCGGCAGCGTGTAGTGGTTGTTCAACGGGTCTAGTTGATAAGCGCCCTCCACGGCCGTCCACTCCAAGTTCAGCTCCTGCGCCGCGTCTTTGAGTTGTTCGTATGCGTCCTCCGCTATGCACACTGGCGCGGGGCACGGTTGGTGTTCGTCGCCCACCAAACACTTAAAAAAACAAACAAAGCCGAGATGAAAAATAGCTAACCCGTTTAATAATATATTATGTGTGTGTCTGTGTGCATGTATGTCTAAAACACTTCCTAGTAACTTGATTGTACTTAACAAGAAACAAAAAGAAGTTTTTCTATTTAAACTTTTAGCATAGGTACGTTGTGTCGTAGAGCGAATGAATACCTATTGTTATTTTTTTTTTTAGATTTATTTATAAAATTCAAATAATTGACGAAGAAAACAACGGAAAGGAGTGCAATAATCAAATAATTAATTAATTAATAATATTTTGGTAGGTATCTATATTTATTTTTTATTTGACAATTTTAATTTTTCTAAGAATAACTAGGTAGATATAGTTTTTGCAATATTATTGTTTTATTTATCAGTTATTATATTTTATTACGCAATACACAAACCGTCCCAATATTTAATTTAAAAAAATAAAATAAAAATGTCTTGTTTAGCTCTTATCATTTGCTGTATACTGTATGGCACACAGTATGTATAAAAAAAATTCTGTCTTGGTATTTAATATTTATATTATTTTATTTGATGAATTAATGGTAGATAGTGTAACATCTGTAAAATCATTCATTTTAGAATCTATAAGAGACAAAAGTGTATACAAATACATTTAATTTCAAATTATGGTGTCGAGAGTTCATTCTTAACTATGTTCTAGTTTTAATAATTGTTGATGTTATATTTTATATAGTTTATAAACAATGGTATTAATAATTTGTAACAGGAAACCAATAGTTGTTGTTCATGAACTATCTAGAAATGTTGGTCTATATTTTTCTTTTATGTCAAGAATAATAGAGCCAACAAATGAAAACTTAATGAAATATAAAAGTATATTACATTATGTAATATTCATTCATACTTTTAAGTTTTAACATTTTCATAATTGTATTTTTTTTAATGAATAATTTATGACAATGACGAATACACAAGAAGTAAATATATATATATACAATATATACGATATTTTTCAAGTGAAATGAATAATTAGCGTAGGTATCAAACATTTATATAGTGATTATTTCTTTTAAAAAAGTTTGCTTTCTTTTTAATTATTAGTGTAAGTAAATGGATAATAATTTACATAAACTAATACAAGGAGATTAATTTAAGTGTTTACAGCCATTATATCAAAAAGTTTCAACTTTTAAAAAAATATTATTTTTAAATCATTTAATGCCATTGCGATGTTATGATTTTTATATGTTACTTTTTGAATGAGATAGTATTGGTACATATTTAATTTCATATTCCGAAGCAGAATATTTTTCGGAGTATATCGTTACTTGCAAATTTAATTTTGAGTGGTTATAACTTATAACATAAAGTAGGACTTGGGTGTTGTAGTAAATGTTTTTTTGACATTGAGTGTGATAAAATTATAATTATTATGTTTAATCGCATTTCGTATCATTCTGATAGCAATGGAGAAAACTCTATATTTTTCATAATTTTCAAGATAATGTAAACCATTTTTTTATAGTTTGATCAATATTTATACCCAAATATAGTATAGTTAGTATTGAAGTTATAATTATTTTAAGTTGGGATGAGCGAAGATGTGAAGTAGTGGACCAATTTTCTGCAATATTTTTTTGTACACCCAAATTTTTTTATCTCAACTTTAAAATTTAAATACTTAAAAGTTATGACTAATTACCTACTTACTTTTATGTTGAAATACTATGAAAAATATTCATCTTGGGAGAATTATAAAATTAAGAAGCTATCTACATTATTATTCAGAATAGTAAAAAACTTATAAAATGATAACGATAAAAAAAAATATAGATGATTTATTTAAAAAAATTTTGTTTTGAAAAGACCTCAAATTATGTAGACCAATATTTTCAAAAGAATTAAAACTTTTTGAAATAACGAGTTAAGATCCTTAAATGGATATATTATTTTGTTTATCTTTCTAGGTTGATTTTTAAGATAGTTTGTTGAGATTATTTATAAATCAAATAATTTACTTGGTATTTATAAATATTTTATTGGTGTTGGATCTGCGACAGAAAAAAATAGTTGAAAACTATTTTACTTCAATAATTTGTAGATAATAAATTATCAGTGTATTAATTATAAACCCATTAATTTGAGTGTTTATATTGAATATTTTGATGAAATAATTATGAATTTTATTAATTGAGAAGGCAACGACGATCTAGATTTATTATGTAACGGAAAGGTAAAATGTTAATTAGTGAGTAGGTAGTGAACGAGTAATTAAAACTAGAACTTATCAATGTAAATAAACAATTATGAAATGGATTCTAACAAAAAATGTTAAATAAGTTTTTTTTTAATACAACAATAAATAAGTTAAGTTCATGACTTACGTAATGAAACCTGTAATCAATAATAATAATAATAATAATGATAAAGTAAATGTATTATACTCGTAAATAATATGCATATTGCGTAATATTAATATAATACATAATATATTGTACTTATAGTGTTCTTGTAAAAACAAAATACTGGTATCGATCGTTTTGCAGAAAACCAAAAAAATAACTTACTATTGTTTTAAAGCGTGGAAAGTATTATGTATTATTTTGCAAAAAAGTATAATTAAAATGTTTAAGTGTTTGTTTTTCAATGTTGTAATATAACGGTTGTCGGGTTTAGTTACAAATACACGTAGGTATAAAGTACATACATGAAGTATGATTAAAGTATGTACAAAGTGGAAGAATTTTCATCAATGCATTAACACGTCCATGCGTATAAATATGTTTAAGCTGATACATTACGTTTTCTTTTGTTGTTACGTATTTTACATTTTACTACACATTTCACAATAATATTACAATGTATTATTTCTTTGTTTATTATAATAATGAAATGTGATGATAATAATGTTATTATTTTACACGATGTACAATAATTTATCTAACGATAAATACAATTTAATGTACTTAATGGATATAATTATTATTATAAGTATACTATACATAGGTAGATACCTACGTTTGTCGTTGGACCGCTATAACGAATTTCTTTGGTGACATTATTTGTTTTTAATTATTATGCTCGTCATCATATTGGCTGTATAAAAAAATTCTACACCTTTCAATTTATCAGTCTATAGTATAGAAGAAAATATTATTTCGGTTTGAAAAAAAATTATAACACAATGTTATTGCTGTGGTTATTGTCGTTTTAGGATTTATACGAATGAAATCAAAATCTCTTTGTAGGTATTTCACGTAACTAAAGTTGCGAGTTCTAAAGGTATCAAACTCCCGAGACTATTTTCGATGCAAATCTGACTTTAGGATTATAAAAACCTCAGAGGGATAAAAAAACATAAACGTGACTAAAGAATATTTTTAAAAAAACGCCCATGACCGCGCAAACAGATCATTTAAATATTTCTTAAATGTAAACTTTTACTTAAGTAAAATAAAATATCAGCCCTTCGAGGCTTAAAGTTCATTACTATGTAAAAGATAACTTTGTTTACCTACACAATTTTAAAATTAATGTTGAAATGAGTCAAGTTTAGCACTACGTCTTTTTAAATAGTATAAATTATGTGTACGTACCAAAAAGAAACATCCCCGGGAAACTTTTCGGCAATTTCTTATTTCTTCCAAATGTTCAGCGAATAAAAACGGATTTTTCATTGGATCCAATTCACTGCCATAATGCATGTCGACGAATTCTACCTGTAAACAAAAAAATAAAAACAACAACATAAAAACATTGAATATTTGAAATTTTCCAATGTGTTAATCTTGTTTCATATTTCTGCACGTCTAATTAAAGGGGATCAAAGAGACGTAAGTGGTATATAAACTACGGTCTCGAGAACTTTTATTCAAAATTAAATAAATATTCTTAAATGCATTAAATAATAGTATACAAATAAAACAAAGTCCAATATTTGTATATTAAGTACCTAAACAAATAAATGAGGGTTGATTAATATATTTACTTGCACCTATTAATTATTATGATTCAAATAATATTTGAAGTAGACAAATTAATTTATCTTTAATGGTATTTAATGATTTGTGTCGTCTAAAGTCTCTAATATGAATTAAGTAGACTAACATATTTTTATGAATTAAATATAATATTTACAATAAAGTTATTAGTAACATATAAATGTTTTATTTAATTGGGCTAGAACGGTTTGGAACCAACAATAATAATTTTATAATCATAATTCTCATGTAGATTCAATTCATATTTTATACTTTTCATAATATTTACTATATTTCATTAAATCCTCATTTGAACAGTTTATTGCTTACACTATAATGTGTTATAATTATATATTGACAATGTATTAGCTTAAAATTAAATCATAATGAAATTAAGGTTTTCGAGTTTATACTTCCTGTCTTATTTTATTTACAACAAATATCACGCATTGTTTAACCATATCTATCGCATTGAACGTTTGACCTAAATACGGTAAGATTTTGTTTTTTTGAATTTACGTGATGAGCATAGGTATACGAAACCCTTGTCCGTGCGGATCGACTTCAAGATTGAGTGATACGTTATATGTACAGAAATACACAATGATACCTATAATTTTACGTAGGCAATATTAAGATATGTAAGATTTAAGTACATAATATAGGTACTACAACTTATCGTAACTGAATTAAATTATATGGAGTGTGTGACACTTCTCTGTCAATTGAAAACCTTTTGCTCATAAGATTTTCGATTCACGGCCCAATGCTTGGGTTCTGGTACAACACCGTGGTAGATATAGGTTATGGTATATGGTCGATAGTGTTGTAGCACGCTTTTGTTCGTTTTGATGACACTTATTTTCGCCACTAGTTATTACCATCTTCGATTTTATTGTGCGAGGTTTTAGTCGAATGAATAGTCTTTTGTCGATGTCAAGTATCGCGTACAAGAGAACTGTTTGTAATATGTTGCAAGTCTATGATGGGTTCGATACGTGTAGATCAAGTGTGTGCAGATCAACAACCGAACCAAAGAACTTATTATTAATCGTCCGATGGTTCTTGAAACCGCGTTACAGAGTCGCGTCATTGTGCATCTTTCGGGTATATGCCCCAATGATAAACAATATTGTATAATATGAAAAAAAGGGAAGTTTTGATGTTTAAAATGGCATCATGATGGTAAATAACAAAGTTAAGACTTACGATCCCGTGAAATCAATGAGCGGAATGTCTGAGAAATAACCATGTTTTCTAAGTATAAAGATTACTGACCACCGGCGTTCGTGTAACTTATATGATCTACAACCATAAAAAATATTACTTAAAATGTCACCATCTACAATTATTAAAACATTGCGGTAAACGTCTAACGATTTTAATAATACTATGACGAATACTATATTATTATCTCATTGGGGTAGGTAAACATGAACTATTATTGCGGCTGTTGTTTGTTTGTATAAACGACCTAGTTACTTATGCTTACATCATGTGATAGATCGAATTGTTTCAAAGCTACAAAGACCTTCTCTACATTTTCAGGAACTTTTAATTTTATTCACATCACAACTACAGTCCCTAACTCATAATCATCGTAAGACAGTACAATTAATAAGACAATATTTCATCCAAAATTCAAGTGCACCACGCGATTAAGATAATTTAATAAAAATATATTACACATCATCTGAGTTCAAGCAGGATTAATATTGAGTTAAAGTTAACTCGATACGAAATTAAAATTAGAGGATCGTATTAAAAATTGACATAAATTTGACTTAAGTTCACGATCCCTAATATCGTTAGCAATTAAAAGTACAACGAGGTGATTGTTTCAGAGTAGAAAAAAATTATATTTTAACTCTAAAATAAATAAATAAAACTAACCATAATTTATTACTACTCACCTAGTTTACTTCCCGGTCACGGGTTTCAAAATATTTGAACAGATTGAAACATTTTACGAGCGAGTTGTTACATAATAATATTATAATATGTAGACGGTTTTAACCCATCTCCGGGAAAATGCATTTACCTACGTCGCGTTCGTCAAACGGCCAACACTTGTGCGACGTTAAGGCATAAATACCCAGGGAGGTTTTTACGTGAGATTATGTGCCCAGAGTGCGGTTGAGTGAGGAGTTCACGCGAAAAGTGTCGGCAGTGGCTTATTGGCGGGCCTATATTATATGGTTCCTATATTTATTAGATATACGTACTCGCACAAATTACCTTACTGACGTCCTCTGACACTGTTAGATTATTACAGAATCTATAATATAGACTTTACTAGATTTTTTTGTGTCTTATGGACGATGTCCATCGTCCCTTACTATTGCTAGAAATCGTCGACATCTATCTAATCCCTATTACTGGCAATACACCTGGCGAAATTTATGTTTACGGTGGATCACAATATTGCTTCATCATATCATCATTATAGAGGTCAGTCCTCCGAGGCAGTTTTAAAACGTCGTGACTTAAGTACCCCGCGTGCTACAGCAAAGACGTATATAATTGAACATTGCATTAGCAGTCTCCAATCTAATAAGATGCGAATTGATTGACCGGAATTTCCAGAGAATATTAAATTCAAAGCCCCGGTTTTCAATATCGGAAATAACGTTTGTCCAATCCCCCTTGTATAAACCTCAGTAACCTATACAATAAGTTTTATTTATGTTTTCAAAGTTAAAATGTATTATTCTTAATTCTTAATATTGTGTGTCTTTATAATATATACACTTAATAATTGTATTTATACAAGAATGGAATTTTAAATTTATATAAATAAATGATTGATAGTCGTATGATAATTATCATTATAATACGTACATGCGTACATGCATTTGACGCAATGTCCACGCAGTGGACTGCGAAAGATTTTACCGGATGATTATTAAGTGATCGATAAATAGCATTTGTATTTTGGTAGAGTATCATCGATCAAGTGCTCATTATATTTTACATTTAGTATATTATTATGTATGTTTGAGAGCTATCTATATTTGTATTGCTCTTACTAGGGAAAATAAAAGAAAAGGAGCTCTAAGACTAGAAAAAAATAAATGTCACTTGAAATATTATTGAACTTAGCCGCGAAGCCCCCTTCAGTATCCATCTACCCTCAAACAAATAATATTACAATGTACAAAATATGTTATGCCGTATCATATAAATAAAAGTGAGGGTTTAATACTATTATACTATTATACTATTCATCAAATTGAGTTTGAACATTATTTTATTTAATATTATTTTGTAATATAAAAATGATAAAAATAATAAAATATTTTCAGTTTTGTGAAAAAATAAAGTATGATATTCGTCCTTCTGTGATAATGAAAATAATTAGTAGGAGTGCTTTCAAAATATAAAAATAAAAATAAATATTGGAGGAGCTCCAACCTCTTCCACCCTCCCTCCTCCAAATTTGAATGAACACTATAGGCACGTTGTGCTTCGATTTCCATTAAACAAAAAAAAAATCTATCCACCACTAATATTAGCAATATTATGGTGATATAATATAATTATCCACAGCACGTTACTAAGTGAATGTGGTTAAAGGATCTGGATATCTGTGCATAACGAGCATTAAATGAAACCGGAATAGCATTTATATAATTACCGCTACTTGACGTTCATACGACCATTAAACCGACTGTCAAACTGGAATTTAATTAAAATGTATTATTTTTTTTTAGAAAAAGCTGTGCCAACTATATTTGGACATTGACTGTCACAGAAAAAAATGTCTGGTAGGTGTCTAAAGGATTAGCTGTTGGTACATCAGGTGCATTAATCATATATTAAAACATGTTAAGATAAACATTTGCATTTGGTTGATTGCCTAGTTGATTTGATAATAATTCTACCTGGCTGTAATAAAATATTAATTCAAAAAAAAAAAAAAACGAATTAGTCATTCTTTCGCTATATTAGAAGTAAAATATGAAAGAAATCAGTCCCAGGTATGTAATGTACCGTCGCTTGTTGTTATTTTTTATTGCGGCTACATTAAAAACGTCTAAAGTGGAATGAAAAAAAAACATATTCACTTGATCTAGATTAAGTTGGAAATAAACCCTCTAAATAGGGGGTGGATATAAATCCGTCCGGTTTAAAGTTTCGCATTTAGATTGAGGTTTAAGATTCTATTTCTAGGATTAGATTTTTTTTACTTGGATTATTTTTTGATTTAATACGATAATGCAAATAACACACACAAATTATATAGTTTTTGTGTAAAAGTGGGTTTAAGTAAATTTTAAAACGGTATGATAAAGTATAGTTATAAATTATAATCTGTATTAGCAGTACCTATAGACAAATTACGTGCAAAAAGACGAAGAAGTAGGTACTTAAAAGTTTTCCAACTCGCTGAAAGTATAACAATTGAAGAACTATCAAAAAAGAAACTATAAATATATTTTATAATCACTTTTTTATAGTTAGCTTGTATAAAACAATCAATGTGATGTCTAAGTATTAAAATAAACCACCTTCAAACTGGGTCACTCTCGCATGGCTGCAGGTAATAATTTAATAGTAAAGGTATGAATACCGGTATATTTATGATTTCCGGGATTTTACTAATCAATCTTGATAAATTCTAGGATCACTAAAATAATCTGGTAGAACTGCAAATGATTATCATGGTTTGGGTTTTTACAAAAAGATAAGTAGTGAATCTTAGTTGCTATGAATACCAAAACAAAGTAGTAACATTG